ATGCAAACAATTTTATATGCTAGATAAAAAAACGCAAAAAAATTCAGATTAATATAATTTTATAAATATTTATGCAAGCAGCTATTTGAATTACTAAATACATTGATTTCGCATAGCGAATGTCGTGTTCTATTTATACTCGGTTTATCGGCGTGTCAGTAAATTGATATTTTGTGAACACGAGAAATCGGATAATGAAATTTGTATAATCGGACACGATTATGCAGGGTCTCTCTTGAATTCCGATACTTAGACACATATTTCTGTGTGTATACGTTCTGCAAGCAGAGTGCATATAATATACATATGTATATGCACGATACTTAATATGCATGGTTTTTTATTATTTAAGGAAATGTCAAAATATAAATCGTATATCTTATTATTAGTTTAGTAGAATATTAAAAGCATTATGAATCATACAGAATATGATCACCATTAAACGCGATACTATAGAATAGATTATAATAATTAATAGTAATTTCTAAGATATATTTTGCGATCAAATATATCCTTGTTCACAAATATTGTAATGAAGAGAAAAATAGCTAAGAACAAATTAAGTTGATTATGAGATATCGCAGATAAAAATCGTTTAGTCACCACATCATATCCAAACATCATTGTATCTGCATAGAACGAATTTTCCCTAAACTCAGAGAATTGAGGTGTCGCGCGGTTTTCTCCTTCACGATGTCTATCCTCGCATCGCCAGTTTAAGGACGAAGTAAGTTGCCGCTGCGGTGTCGCACAAAAGGTATTATCCATTGTTCCCGAAGTGCATGGGAGGTTTGGTAATCGGCTGAAATGTCTGGCGAATGCCCCATGGGTATCCCTATCAGCGCAAGAGTGTTCGATGTAGAAACGCTTTTGCGTAATGAGTAGTTGAGATTCCCTGTTAAGGAACGCTCGAACTCTGCACACTGCGGTTTCCGCGGTTCCCAACAGATTTCGGTGCTTCGCCTAGTTTCTTCCTCCGGTTCTGCTTTGTTGCCGATCCGCCGAAGAATACATTCTGCTATTGCGTCCGACGTGCAACTCGTAGAGTGCGTCAATTCCGGTATATGTTATTTTGACAAGCCAACCGCGTATAATTACCTGACGAATCCTTCCTTTTAGAGTTTAAAATCATAATATATCTCGCATCCACGAACTTTCTCGCATCCGAGGTAATTAGCAGTATTCTAATTGAGAAGTTCCATACTAAATTCATAAAGAGACTATATAATGGATGGAAGTGTAATAATACTACTTTGACAAGAACAAATTAATTGTTTAAATTCTTGTATATATTCTTTAAAAAATGTTATTCAAACATATAACGTGCTATAAAGAAATATTTTTAATGTAAATAGAAGAAATAAGAATGAAAACTAGAGAATCGCATAGTTTAATTTATTTGATTCGTTGTATTTAATATCTAATAATAATCTATATTTTCAGACAATTATTTAATTTTATTAACTATTTTTATTAATTTCTTTGAATTAGTCAAATATTTGAATTTGGAGTGTTTTTCGCTTCGTTTGTTTCAGAAATTATTTATTCAAATTAAATTGAAAATATTCCCTTTATAAAACCGAGAGTAAAAAATGCATAATTTTAGTTGAAGTAATTATTTATATCATTTATTCATATTATCTATATTATTTACTATTATTTTATAAGTTTTAATGTTTGATTCTAAAAAATGGAAAGATACTGCTTGGTGTTTTGCGAATGAAAAAATTAAATTATATAACTTGTATTATATATAAATTGTCCTTTCTATAATAATTTTTTGTGAAGATTTAATTAACAATAATCAAAATTAATTTATTAATAGAAATTTAAGTGTATTTATTTCTGCAATATTTGCATTTCCATCTCTCGTAAATAAATATATAATGCATATGTAATATATCTGTGCTATTTATCCTCTTCCGCTTATCTATTCTATACCGGGGAAGCTTTTGCGAATGAATAATTCGATCGAAAATTAAGAATTCAGGGCACTCACGGGACCGCGTCGCTTCCGTCTTATACGATAATACTTGTCCAAGGTTTAAAAAAAATAAATAAAATTTTAAAGATATAATACTCTTAATTTTGTTTCGAAATTACCGGCACAGATTTCAACGCTACATGGTATTTAATTAAATTTACGAGTAAATTTTGTCGTTACTACATGGTGACGAATTTTGCTAATTGCTTTACTAATTGCCTATAAATTTCATGGTAAACGAAATGTCAATTTTCGGAAGAGTATTTAGTATTATTAAATGGAATATATTTATATATATAGATTTTTTGCGTCGAATAACACCAACATGAAATTTTTATCGTATATGAATAGTATGATACATGTTTGCAGTTTGTGTAAATTTAAAAAAATAAATATTTTGTTTAAAAATGATCAAAGTTCTGTATATAAATTATTTTTTATAATAAAAATAATTTATATAATAATTTATACCTTGGTTATGTATTAGGAATAATATACAACATGCCGAGAACAATGTCTTCATAAATTATTGTATCAGAATATTGCTACACTGCTGCAAACTATTTTATAGATCATCTCCATGACAAATTAATTCAGCAAGTTGCGAAATCGTCACGTTCGTGTAAATTACTAGTAATCAACACTGAAGGAAATACTAGTAGAGAGAGTAATAGCAATAGCGTGTAGTAGCCTGAAACTATCAGTCTCTGTATCGCATAATTTCACTATTACAAGAATTTGAAATGTTGTTTACTCGCGATTTAAAACAAATACAGGCAAACTAAATTTACGTATAATCTCTTTACGGGAAAAATCAATTAACACTGATCAAAATTTAAATTGCAAAAAAAAAGAGAGGAAAGAGATAAAATGAAATATAAAGGAATTAAAAATCGTTAAAGTGCAAGAGAAAAAAATTGATGTAAAATGATGTGATCTTGTTTGTTACGAAAACAATTCTCAATATGGTTACCGCTAAGTAGATATCTTACAACGACGCTTACAATATGTTGCACGTAAACCCAGCAGGTTGCCAGAATATGCGTCAACCCAATTGAAACTGAACTCTGTGGTTGGCCGATCCGTGCTAATTAATTACTGCGCTGCCGGCAAATTCATTACAACAAACACTGTTTCTAACAATGGTAACGGCGTATGTTTAGCTACATTATCCTTGCCGTCCGCGTCGCTCGGTCGAAACTGCTGCAGTCGGTCATATATATTGAATTCTACGTGCAAATTTCTATACGCTACACGATCGGCTCCCGCTTATATTTTGCATGTGAATATTTTCCATCGAATTTGATATAATTATCGCGGACGAAGCTGCCGCGTCATATGACGAGTGAATAATTATGGCGTAGAGAAATGCGATTTGTGAGGTCATTTATACTAAACGTTTTTTCCTTGAATATAAACGATCATAATTAATCCTTTCGTTTGAAAAGAGAGATTACACATAATTTGCGCGTGATTATTTTCTCTAACAGAATTCTCTGATCAAATTCTCTAACAGAATTATCTCTGCAGTAAAGAAAATGTATAATGCATAATGTGTTAGAAATTAAAAAGTATTCACAGCATGCCTATGTATTCATTATTTTAAAAAAATATTATAAATGATTACTAAGAAATCTTTAATTTTCTTATTTTCTCTTCGTTTTAAGTACTTTATTTTAAAATCCCTTTGTATCTAAAGCGCTAAACATAATAATAATAATAAAGTCCTCAATATACATAAGATAATCCATCATGTAAATTAATAAAATTGCAAAGTTTTTTAATATAATGTGTAAAATACAAATTCATTTATTGTGCGTTAGATTTAAAACTTTTTGCTTGATAACTGATATCATATTCTATTACGGCACATCGATAATAACGATAATGATGATGAATATCAATCGTTACAATTGTTTTACATATGTAATAGATTCATACAGAAATATAATAAAATAATTATTATGGTGGTGAAATGATATTTCACGTCGTTATATTGAAATTCTGTAGAATTAAATTTTGAAAATTTTGTTCCTTTACAGCGGATGATAAAAAAACATAACGAATAAGTTAGATAAGAGAGAAGGAGAAACTGGAAGAGATAATAATAAATGTTTCTCTATAGAGAAACTTACATTGTACGTTAACTTTGTGAAAAGTGAAGTAAACTCACAGAGGCGAAAATGTCGATAGAAATGCCCCGGAGATATCGCGGTCCAACTATAGAATCATTAATTATAACGATAATTAGCAGGCACTTTTGCGATGGTAACTCTCGGGCGTCGATCCTTCACTTCGAATTCGCTATCTCGAGCCAAGTTCGAGAAGTATAAATGGAATATGATTTTATCCTATATAATTAGTTGCCAGTGGAATTGAGAAACTTTGTTTTCCACGCAATGTGATTTCGGTATAAATTCCCATATATATAACAAGATACTTTTCCATTACAATCATTATTATACAACGAAGAGAAATTTTTTATTCGAAAGAATTTATAGAGAAGGGGAAAAGATTGAAAAACTCTTTACGTAATTGTTTATTCATTTCCTAACTGATTCTTCGATAAAAGATCTAGTATTATCTTATATTTAAAATATCTTATATTTAAAATTAAAAATTACCGAAAGATGGATCGTCGTCGTAATAATTATGACGAAGATATTTTTTGTTTGAAAAATATTTGGAAAAGAAAAAAAGGATTGAAAAGCCCTTTACATATTGTTTATTTATTTCCTAACTAATTTTTGATAAAGAATTAAATATTATATTATATTTCAAATTAAAAAACGCCGAAAGATGAATCGTCGTAAAATTGATACTTGGAAAAAGCGATCGTATTAAAAATATCAAGTTATAACTTAAGACTTAAAATTACGAGGGTGTGAATAGTCTTGATGAGTACCAGGGGGGATGAAAAGAGGACATAAAACGACGAGACAGCGCTTACAACAATGTAACGACATCGTAGAAGCGTTTAATGAGCCTGTTTAACAAGGGATTTCTATGATTTCAGCCCTGCGAGAAGTCGGGCGATCTTCGCGCGATACAATGCGCCGCCTTCAACAATGTGCCATACAGCGGACAACTGCTCAAATGGTATCCCCATTACGATCCGACTAGGCCCTGCACTTTGATCTGCCGTGGCGAGCAAACTTTCGAGGACGGCATTAGAAGACGGTCGCGACAGGAAGTGCCGTCGAATAAGAGGATGGAGTCGCACGATTCCACGGACAGTCTGCAATACGACAACGACGAGACGATAGTGGTGCAGCTGGCGGATAAGGTCGAGGACGGCACGAGATGTTACGCGGAGAGCACGGATGTGTGCATAGGTGGCGAATGTATGGTGAGTGAAGTGTCTTTATCTACTTTTAGCACTTTTTTTCATTCAAGAATAATCAATAGGCGCACTTTTCGATAAAGCTCGTGAAAATATCAATTGCCAAAGGCTATTCGTTAAATTGCATTTCTCTTAAAACTGCACAAATTGGATGTAGAACAATGGTTCAAATTATTTGGGTTTTATATGTGCGTTAATTGCTCAAGTTACGTAAAAAATGATTGATCCACTGTTACTTATAATGATAAGTAGATGTAGTATAGATATAATAATGCATATCATCGTTAATAATAAGAAAAAAAATACTAAGAAAATATAAAGTAGATTAAATGAATAATATATATTAATTTACATCAGAAAATTCTGTAATAATTATAAATATTGATCTGCACCGAAATTAAGTTTGAAAGTTAACGAGCAATTTAATTTGCGAAAATATAATAGGGATTATTTCTCGGACGGAATATTTTATTGTCAATTCACAGAGGGGCACAAAGTGTTTTCAAAACAATTTCTCTTCGATGTTTTTAAAACAAAATTAATCTGTTGAAAAAAGAAATCGATAACGTTATACTTGTCATACGATGTGTTTAAACTGCAACATTTCCAATGGGTATTAGAACGCCAGAACATATGACAAATCGCTTAAAGGTTCAATAAATCTGTCACGTATTTTTGTCCCTGCGCGTGTACGCGACTTCATTTTAATAGAATTAACGAGAAAACAATTAAAAAGTGGATGGAAATTGGAATAATCACAATTTTAAAGACCTCACGCTTCAGAATAGACAGGTAGAGATTGAGTTGGGACCGTGACATCATTATTCTGCGCTTATTGTGATCCATTGATCCAATGCTTGAATTGAAAACCAACCGTGCTCTTGACTCTTTATTCCTGCTTTCGAATATCTGTCACGAAGCGGTGTTCGTGGAAAGAGGAAGAGAGAGAAAGAAGTAAAGAAAAAGAGTATATATATCAACTACTTCATATCTAGTCTTGATTCGTATATTTATTAAATGTATAAATTAAACATCGTATTCTTCTAAAATATTATTAATATATTATTATTAATATATAATTAAAATCATTAATGTAAATTAAACTTGCCACAAAAATATATTAATATTACTTATTATTTTTTATATCTTTTAATAATTAAATATAATATATATACTAATTCGGCCTATAGTTTAGTAGCTATATAATACGAAAAAATATATACATATGTACATATGCACATATGTAAACGTGTACATAATTTTTAAGCATACGATAATGTACTGAGCATGTAAAATGAGAAGCGATGTTAAATTACGTCGAAGAAGAAAAACTAGTCTTTCTCTGTTATTAATATGCTATATATATTCTCACGTTTCAATTATATAACCGAGATTGTAACATTACAATTAAAACGAATGTAGAGAGAGAATCGAACACTCTTCACAAAAATTTTATTATTGAAAACGGTTATCTGATTTAATCTTCTCTCGATTTTGCGGTAAAGGGGGATAATTATTGATTCTTAACCGCGGCATTATCGGAAATCATGGATCTGTCACGTGCAGACGGCAGTATGTTAGGCACGAGGAGCATTAAGCGATAGGTACAGTGCGTCGCTTGTCAGTCACTATAAATTGTTGGCCGATCAACACGTGAGAGCTTTTCGTTAATCATGGAAATACAACGACACTTAGACCCCATTAATTAAACTACAATTTAAATAATACTGAAACATTATTAAGACAAACAGTCTAGATGTGATTATGTTATTTCTATTTTTATATAAGATCATTTTAATCATCGTTAGTAGAAATGCATACGCTAATGTCAGACAAGTGTAATGCAAAAGCGTAGTAATATTGTAATAGTAATAATAAAAATTCTAAAAGAAAACAAGCTAAGTGGAAGCTTAAAAGAACTTCTCGGCTTTAAGGAAAGATTGTTTTCTCTCTCTTTCTCTTTCGGGAAGCTTTAATTCAATACTCGCACGATTGTGAGATTGTAGCAGCATTTCTTGATTCTATTTCTTCGTACGAGTCCGCACTTCTTCAATGTATTTTGCAAATATCAAACAATTTCGATAAATTGTGTAGGCATATGTATATAAATACAATCGGAATGTAAATAACTCAATGTAATAATGTTTCGATCAAAATTGCATTTTGATTTATTAATCTATTTAATTACTCGTTTGCATTGTTAAATCGATGGATCCCGGCTTGCCTAATACCTTGGGAATTTACATATTAAATTTGCCATTAGCTTGGCCAACGCGTTTTGAACATCGATATAATCCGATCTGTAATTTTGATCGAATAATTACTCAATTAATTAATCAAGAGTCATATGTGAGTCGAACAATATCGTCGAAACAATAAATTGGAGTAGCCTTTACATGTGCACAAAAGCCATGTTTGAAATTAATTGTATTCACGTGAACTCAAATTATATGAAATTATCGATAATATTTAGCGTGAAAAATTGACTTCAAGTTAATCAAAGATCAAAGAGTTTGTAATTGTGTGGAAACGGAGTGCGGTAATATATTACATATGTTTCTACATGTCAAGATGGATATGCGCAATTGCGTTCTTTTTGTTCTCATATACATTTTTTTAAATATTTGAGACGTAAGAATTTAAAAAAATTTGATAAATTTGATAAATTATTAATTAAGTAGATATAAGTAGCGTTCTAAAATACTTCGACCAGGGTGGTCTTAAGCGCAGGATTAAATTGAAGGCATTACTTCAAAATTTAACCGCAATTGCCACGTCTCTTGTCGAAACTTGGTGAAGATGTAACTTTTGGAGTTAGCGGGGAAACTCTAGAAGAAGATTTTCGCGCTAAACGTCGGTGCATACGTATCAACTAGTATCTTAAACTTATTCGTAAGTCGTTGATTCTCGATGTCGCTACGACATCGAGCGGGCGTGTTTCACATCTTGTTGTTAAAATGCAGCCTAACGAAGCGCACTCCTAGCTCAGTCTTCTGCTAATATTTAACATGGGCGTGTCGAGAAGCCCGATCTTATCGTCCATTAACTTAATTTGATCTACGCCATGTGCATATACACACATATATAACGTATGTATATCTACACACACACTTTCTCGAGAAGCGTAATGAAGATTGTCCGGCGCATTATTGTTGTAATAATACTGCACGATCCGTATATTTATTGAATAAGCTCACAGAAGCATGCTTTCTTGATAACTTTTAATGGGATCTCTTAATGGGATACTTGTAAGTTTTGTTAAAATCTCTCAGTATTTTCTCGAAAATACTTGTAATTACTGTTACTCCGTATAATCGGATATTTAAAATACTCATATATTTGTTTAATTTATCTATTTAATTAATTATTTAATTATATTGTTGTTTATATTTATTATAACAATTCGTCATATTTAAATTTAAATTTCAATATCATCTCATTTGCTATCTTATTACGCGAACAGCAAAACTAGATTATTATAAACTAAAGTAGACAACAATTAAATTATAGGTATTTTACTAATATAATAAAATTGTTATATACACCTATATATTATAATTATTAAATATCTAAAATTTTGTATTTAAAAAATTAGAAATATTTCTGAATGAATGATTCTGAATAAGGAATAATTTTTTTGAACTATTTAAATTGCTACATGAAAATAAGTCGCAAGTATATTTCATTTACTCCTCTCTAAATTTTTTTTATCTGCATACAAATTGGACGTTTTCTTGCCGCGAAAATATAATGCGCGTCCTCGGCTATGCGCATTAAAATCTTAATTCTTTGATCCTAAATTAAATGAGACTCGTGATACCGCGAAACAACCAGAAAGAAATCGGATTAACAATAACGCCGGGAAAGCGCGTTCGCGGTATGCCGGGGAATAATTAACGAATTCTCATAACGGCGACGCGCCGGGTGACGCAGTCACGGGAACAATATCTAATCAGCAGAGAAGTCTACGTAATTAAGCATTAAGCAAACTCCAGTAAACGCAAACTGGCTTTGCGTTATTAAAAGTGCCGAGTCCCGCTTTCGTTGTGGGCACGCCCGATGGTCGCGCCAAAGCTTTTTCATTACGTTGTGCACTCGTTAAAATTTATCTTCGGGGCGAGAAATTATTACGCCATTCACACCCGTTCCTGTAGCAGTGGAAACGGTGTGAATTTTGAGAAATTACATTACTTACGAATTACCAACTGTAACATCATTTAATGCTCTATCAATGTTCCGAGAGAAAAATCGGTATATTTCATCAACTCTTTCTTCTCGATGTTTTCTCGCGAAATTCTTTTTAAAAATTAGAATTTTCTATATATGTATAATTTTCATTATTTTAATGTATAAATTAATTTTAATTCTAGTCAAGAGATATACGAAAGAAGATTCACGGTATTTCACGCCGCCTAAGAAACGAATATTATTCGCCGCAAGTTTTGTATTTTGTTACTAAAGTTATGCTAAGCTTCTCTATCGGTGCTTCCTTTTTCAGCAAAAGAAAATCCTTCAGAAATGAATAGTAATTAGGTGTTCATTCTTATTAAACTTTACGAGAATGAAAGAACACTTTAAACAAATATGAGAGAATACTTTAAACGAATACGGAAGTATCTTATCAAAGTTTGTATTCTAAATTTCGGTCAAACTGCTAGTTTTTAACAAGATTTGACTAAGATTAATGCTTCAAAACGGCAGGAAAGAACAGGAGAGAAACCATACAAGAGGCAAAAATTTGCTTTCCTGGAAATAAGTTTTTGTTTGCTTTCTTCTGCTCCTTTTCCCAGTTTTTGTTCAATTATTTTTTCCTCCTTTAAATCTTAATGCTCCCATTTTCAGTTTCTTATATTTAAAGTCGAAAGAAGACGTATTGTGTAATAGATAAACGAATATTAAGTAAACGATATGAAAAGCACAGATTGAATCAGAGTTGTACAGTCCCGAACAGGTACTTACGCAATAAATTTTATCGTGCCAGTGAAAGCTGAAGGCGAATAAAACGCCTGAAGTTAAGCACCCCTTCCTCCACTCTGTAAATCTTATTCTCGAGAAAACTATGTTAAAAGATAGAAACGAGTGCGAGGGAAGAGGGAAAGTGGGGCGCAATAGGCGAGAGATGAGGTTGGTAGAAAAGGCAGGGTGTAACTTAATGGGATAAGGTGCACAAGAGGCAAGGGTACTAAGAAAGGTACATGGAACATCGAATAGAATCTCGAGCGCGTGAGTGAATAATTGAGTGCCAGTCAAATTTGTGCAACGAAATCGCTACGGTGTGGAAAATCGCGAGAGCATTAGCAATTATCGGCTTTTGCGTCTTTGCTAATCTCTCTGATATTTCAGTTTAAATAAAGAGTGAGTGTATTGACCCAGTAATTGATTTTGGTCCGAAGTTATTGAAAAATCTTGTTTTTCATGAATTTATTAATAGATTTCTTTAAATAGATTTATTTACTAGAGATTTAAAGGTTTTTCAAGTATTTTGCTACATAGATGTCGAATGATTTAATGTTGTTAGGAACGATAAGAAGTATACAGAGAAAAGTAAGAAGTGTACAGAAATATACAGAGAATATATCATAAGGGATATAGTTATTTAAATCCTACTATCAATTTTTTTATTTTTAACATTTTTATTTTTTTATTTAATGCAGGAATTATATACAGGATGGTACTCATAACAGTTCGCCACTTACGATAATCTGACAAAAATCACGAACAGAATTTATCAGTTTTCAACCGGCAATAAATTGCAATAATAAAAATTGATCGAACACTTTTTTCAATAAAAATAGCAAAGTTTCTTATTTATGATTTTTTGTCAGATTTATCACATTTAAAAATTATGGCGATTGTTAACGAGAACTATTTTGTATTATTATTAACATTAAATATAATATAATAACTCTAAGTAATATATTTACAGTATTAATAAATTATATATAATAATATTAATGGTAGTATTTTGTGAATTCTCTTTTATTTTCGTCACTACGTATTGCAACGATTATTTGTGCGGAATTAGGAGCAGAAGAGGTTCACAAGATCGGTGGAGTACCGCTAAGTCCCGCGATATTTCATTTCTCACGCCCAGTGGAATTCTCGTTCTCTTCCGAATTGTTTACCCAGAAGAGAAATAATGGGTTGCTTCGATGACCCCATCTTTCAATTATCGAGTCCCATCATTGATTCCCACTTTCGCGGCAAAAGTAAACCTAATCCGGCGCACCTGTATGCATGTCTTTTATATAAAGAAGCATATATAAGCGCACACGACTGTTAAGATATTTCTATTCTATTCTCGTACAATGGAGACAGAAAATGCGAAACAAATTCAGCCTTGCATGAAATTAAATTTCTTCATATCCTGATCTCATATCCGCAGTCTCACAAATCTTTTTCCCTACCTCTCTCTTTTCTACAATAGTAAACCAAATTATTTTTAATTACATATTGAATTCTTGACCGAATTTATATTATTTTATTTAATAATTAGAGATAAATAAATAAAAAAACAGTATGGTAGTAAGATTTTGATTGATTAATTAATGAAGCTATTTACAACTCTCTTAAAGGGAAAGGGCATTTTCACAATTAGTTGAAGATTAGATCTTACGCGAATGCATCGAACACATTTCTTCTTTTCGTGCTATTCGACGAGAGTACATCTCACAATCCGCTTTGTCCGGCAACCCCGTTCCCTCAGACATTTTTGCTCTCCCTGCTAGTGTAGCTTCTCGATGCGTGAAGCTATTAGAGAGCCAGAGTCTCGTTTCGAGAGCGCGGAAATAAAGTACCTACTGCCTAAACTGGCTTCTGCATTGGTGCACGGGATAAAACTGCACTCGTAACTGCCGCAATTCGCCGAATGACGATCGCCGATGTTTAATGGAAGTATTTCGCAGAGTTTGAAACTTGAACGATAATCGAGCCCTATTTCGATTTTGCAGCCAAATCGAACGGTCAATTGGGCCGAAATGGAGACCGCGTCGCGTCGCGCCGAATTTAGTGCGCAATTTTCGTCTAGCTTTCATTCAACGAAACCGTTATGTCAAATCATGTACATAAAAGACATCAAAATATAACAGAACGGATGGATAATTCGTACGATTTAAGGTAACGAGTAAAAGAAATCAATAGAATTGCCGCGTTATGTTATTTAATGATTATAATGCACATAAAAATTAATAAATAATAAAATTATAAGTTTAGAATTGATTAAAAAATTAATACAGATAAATAATAGTGTAGTAATTATTTGCAAATATTTAGATATTAAAGGGAAAAATGATTATAATGCACATAAAATTAATAAATAATAAAATTATAAGTTTAGAATTGATTAAAAAATGAATACAGATAAATAATAGTGTATTAATTATTTGCAAATATTTAGATATTAAAGGGAAAAAATGATTATAATGCACATAAAAATTAATAAATAATAAAATTATAAGTTTAGAATTGATTAAAAAATGAATACAGATAAATAATAGTGTATTAATTATTTGCAAATATTTAGATATTAAAGGGAAAAAATGATTATAATGCACATAAAAATTAATAAATAATAAAATTATAAGTTTAGAATTGATTAAAAAATGAATACAGATAAATAATAGTGTATTAATTATTTGCAAATATTTAGATATTAAAGGGAAAAAATAATTGCCACGAGAAAGGGAGAAGATTGAATTATCTATTTCCCTATTTTCTATTCTTTTGTCGCAGAAACGCACACTTCGAAATTTGCTGAGTTTGAAAATCTAAGCGCGCGTAATAGGGACGAACGATTTATTCGCGTCGCAAGTCACTTTACGAAATCTCGGATTATCTCGCCACCGCAGTTTATCGTAGGAGAGATCCCTCGTTAGGCTCATGTCCTTCTCCTTTTTACTCTCGCTCGCCACTGCTTCCTCCTGCATCGCATCTCCGATGCGTCTCACTTTGCTCATTCGCTCGCACCTTCGCCTTCCAGTTTGCCTTCACTCTTCTCGCCCCGGATAAGGGATGAATAATGTACTCCCCGACCTCCGAGCAAACCTCCATGCAACCTGAATGACAAATCAGTTTGCCGTCCGAGCCAGGTCACGAATCGACGTCAGCCTCGACTTCTTCCATCCCTCCGCCAACCTCTTCTATCCTTAAAGGTTCTGAATTTTCGCGAAGATGTTTCCTCGTTCTCGTGTGACATCAACGTTCATCTATCCTCTAATCCTTTAATATTCTCGAAATACCATTCTTATTACTGCGAAACTCTTTCAACTTAACTACAAAACTCTGACTACAAAAACTTCCTTATATCACGTAAATAGTAAATTGTTAAATCACCACGTAACTTTGGAATCGTCAATAAAATTCTATAACATTTTTATATTTGGTATCGTAAGTTTTAAACAGTAACTTTTATAAATACTTGCTGAAAAAATTTAATCAGAGAACAAGAGACTCTATATATTTTTTAAGCGAATCTTTACCTATATATGTTAAATATAATTTGTTAAATTAAAGAAGTATATATACTAACACTATACATAATTACAGTTTTAGGCAATTATTATTACTCTTCTATTGACAAAAAAATGAATTAGAATCAACGAAGTAAAATTAACGTGCATGTAACAGGTGTTCCAAGAGAAAATTATCGTTTCTGACAGGGTTAAAGACAACCGCGGCCAAGATCCATTACATGGAAGACGTGTTTCATTAATCGAGCGTTCGGGTTTCTGTTGCAGAAGGTTGGCTGCGACCTTAGAGTTGGTAGTAACAAGAACACAGATGCGTGTGGCGTGTGCGGAGGGAATGGATCAAGCTGCCAATCGCGATACTCCTGGAGTTTGGAATCGATATCCGCCTGTTCCAAGTCCTGCGGTGGAGGTTAGTAATTACGGAATTAATATAACTATGTTTTCCTATGAAAATAAACATATCAACTCAAGTATTGCGATTCAATTTTATTACGAGAAATATCTCACCGTAACTTTAATTTTCTTGCATAGAGTTTGTAAAAAATTTTTATTTCTGTCTTTTCAAATATTCATTTTTCTTTAGATTGCATTATATAAAAAATAATGCTAAAGCATGATTATTATATAATATCTACTCGAAAAGAATTATACTCTTAACATTTTGGAGAGATTTTTTTATTGCATTTATAAGAATTTAAATATGTTTCGCGATGAAAAAATGGTAAAGTCGTAAGGAGACACCAAATGAAATTCACAGCGTCGGAGTATTATTTGCACGACAAGGTTCGCTATTAAATTGGAGGGTTAATATGCCGGTCGCGTTTTTGCACTAACAGGTTTTAAGATAGCGATGACGGTGTGCAAATCGGTCGGCACCGACGAGAGTGTCGTGGAGGACAGCTATTGCGATGCAAACAACCGGCCAGAGAAGACCCGGATGCCGTGCAACACGCACCCCTGCACGACCAAGTGAGTACTTTCGGACAGATTAAACTATTTTTAGTAGATCTGCATGCACGTTCTACGTCGAAGAACGTCCAACTATTCGCGTGTATAGTAATCGAAAAGTAGATGCTATATATATATACACATGTATATACGATGCCTTCTCTCGCATAATGATTTCGCCCGCGAAACGAATAAAGTATCTGTATTCCGCCCCGTGTAATATTACAATATCCTTCGCCGTATTTTGCGCTTTTAACGCAAATAAATCTCAATTCTCGCTTGCGATATCTCGAGATCTTCGAGGAAGTAAACGGAGAGAGAGAGAGAGAGAGAGAGAGAGAGAGAGAGAGAGAGAGAGAGAGCAGGAAATTGGGAACTGGTGCTCGGTACAAACGATCTTTGTTCGTACAACAATATTTCTCTTCCGTCTCATGGAAAGGTTGCGAGGCAGCGATTTAAAGCCGGCTCTCCGCGCGCGATGGGAATCGTCCAACAAACGACGAGATACTCCGCCGTCGACGAGACTCGGACAAAAACTCCCGCAAACTGTTCTCTCTCGCTTGCTCTTTCTCCGGGAACGCGGGCTCGTTGAAAGCGAGAACCGTGGAGTAGCGTTGAAAGTTTACAGTCTAGTATATAGAATCTGTTCTTTGTGCTTGAATTTATGGTTCAATGTTCACGGGACGGTCGATGATCTTTGCCAACGCTTATTGTTACTGTTCCGCGAACGATTAAGAGCTTGCCACGACTGCGTTTGCGACAGTGAAGAATATTATTACTATTTCTGAGGAGACATTGAAATGCGAGAGTGTATTTCTGCTTTGCGGGAAAAATTAATAAGTAATAAAAATCGTGCCATATACAAGACGCACCAGTTGCGTTACAAAATTGCGTTCAAAAGAGATATATTAGTTTTTCGAGTGTGTATATACGTTCGTGTTGCAATATATCTCACTCCATCTATCTCAACGTCAAGCCGATCAATCGATTGGCGAAATTCAAGAAAAGTTCTATTCGGGACAAACGCGTGCGTGATTGTAACATCGGTATCGCTAACAGTAATCGAATCGTATCGTCTAACGATTACGACGAAAGAGCAACGTGATGGACTTGACTTTTATGGCGTCGACGACGCAACGATATCGCGATTACAAGTCATTGCGTTGATAAATTACCAGAGAGACATCGATCGATACCAGTGAAGCGGTCAACGGATTAATTGGAGTGGCCACAAATTTAGTCAAATTCAGTTGGGTCTGATCGATTAAGAATAAATGGCCCACTTTCCCCCAAAGAGGATTGAGACTCCGCAAAGCCATAACTGCACTTTGAGGTCCGAAAGTTATGATTCAATCGTACATTATCACTTATCTCTAATTATGCGTGATGAGACTTATATAACCGCTACATTTGATCGAGAATCCTGAGAATCTATTTATCTGTATTTGAAAAATATTACAGAAATAATTATTAATAAAGAATATTTATTGCTTTTTTTATTTAAGCATATAATTAAAAACCGAGTAAATGTCGGTAAATTTTGATTTTTTGCATTACCTTATATAGTAAATTATATTACCATTAAATAAAAATACTTTAGTTACAGAATATATAAGAATATTTCGTGAGTAGCATTTTTTAGTTTAATAAGCGAGAAAACTTGAAAAATACACTCGAAACGCATCATGAATTCGTCAGAAATATCGGTGCACGTGTTTACGCCATGAACGAGATTCGCGTTATAAAGCTAAGAGCCATGATTGATCGATAAAATCCGGTACCGTGTCTAAAACGATTTTTTTCACCGGGAGAGAAATTGAAAAAGTTACAACAATTAATTTCAAATCTCACAAATATACTTGACGTACAAGCCTGGATTTTACCGAGTGCAATTGTATGGATAACACATGTCGGCTTTGCCGCCGCGAAAATTGAATCACATCGAACATAACTTTGGAGATCACGTGGAAAGAATGCCAGGGTGATTCGCGTGATCGGCAAGGTCGATAATCGATGATCGATATCCCGCATAACGCCAGTCACGAGCCGGAGTTACCGTTTCACTTTGTCATTTAGCGCAATCGCTCGTACGCGAAACATTTTTATGGCGTCGTGCATGAAAAATATCGAGAGTGACTTTGACAGTTTCACAAAAAAAGCCCGTTAGCTCGATGGAAGGCACTCTCTACCTCTGTTACTTGGTAAATGCTCACCAAAAATCGATATCTTCTAATCTCATGGCTTTTACGCCCGATACATCGAAACTCGAGGCCTTCAAAGATATCAGCTGAGAGTTTAATAAAGAAACCTCTTCGATTTTTTAGTCTAAAATATTCATAGTTATCAAGGTTGTATTAAAAGTAAAACTATATATTCTATCGTTAATCCTTCCCTTTTCATCGATAATATGGAAATTACATGAAATTTTTACAACACTTCAGTGAAAAAATACTTCAAACAAGAAAAGAAATACGAATTAAAAAACTTATAGAATAAACTTATAGAAGAGTTCAGATTAAATTTTCGGGATAATTGTCTTCATCTGGATAGAAATATATATCTTTTTGAAGAGAGGAGATATTTTGATGTATTTTTTAAATATTCAATGTGTATAATTAATTTTACAATCTTTATCATGATAAAAAAAATTGATAAAAATAGCAGTCTTTTTGACAAATCACGCGCACAAACTTCTATTTCATATTAGGATTCAATAGCCTCATATTCCACGGTTCGTAAGTAACACGAAAAGTTGAATGTGAAAAATGAACATATCCATCAACGTAAAAAAAAAAAAGAAAAAAGAAGGCATCAATATGAAAACACTCGTCGCATTTTAAACACATTTCAAGCAGCAGTCGCCTTCCTCAAGCCATAAAACTTATATCATGAACTTTGACGACACGCACGTTCATTTTTTATACCAATCTTAAATAACGTAAGGGTTCGTCGAATGTCGCATCGACAAGAGTGGAATATTAATCAGTTTTTATTTTGGAGTACATATACGATGCGATGTGTTACGGTTTTACTCTACACGTGGATGCAAGTAACTACATAATTTCGCGTCTCCGTAACAAGCTTAAACTCGATGTATTTTTGTAATACCATCGTTTTGAACGATTTCCTTTCTCTGTTCTTTCAGATGGATAAGCGGAGAATGGAGCACGTGCAGCGCAAGCTGCGGTGGTGGATCGCGAACGAGGTCCGCCTTCTGCACCGAGGAAAACGGAAACGAAACTACGAAGGTAAATTCGAAAGAGGATTTTTCAATAATAATAAAAAATAAAACTCTTTGTTAGCTATACAAAAGATAACAAAAATGTAGGCCGCTACTTCAGGAACGAATTCTTCTCTCTATATTTCTTTGATATTGATTCTAATAAAGTGCGAAAAATTATTGATTTCTTAATAATATAAACCTAAAATAAACTTCATGATATAAACCTAAAACTTAAATTTTGCTCGTTAAAATTTTATGTTGGGGAATACATAATCTTCGAGATCGATGTCATATTAATCCTGGATTATTTTTAATATAATCTCATCATTATTCCTTATTAGTGATTATTTTCATTTGATGAATATTTTCATTTAATGAAAATATTAATCACCCATCAGATAATTATAATTTATTTATGTAAAAAAATTTGTTATGAAAGAAGAGTAAAAGATTTCTTCTAAACTCTTCATATTCATGTAAAGCTTTCTAATTTAAAAAATCGTATAACACAGCTCAGTTATTTAAATTTGTCTGGCATATGCGAAATTAATATAGTCGTACCGAAAATTGGAATGCGGTTTGAAAATTTCTCGAATGTCACGTTTACTCTCAGAAAAATGTCAACGCGACGGGACTTGGCGTGCGCGGGATGTAAAGACAAATAAATCTTTCCGGAATAAATCTGCCAGCGCGCGATGCGAATCAGCGTTACGCGTGCACACGATAAAATGCCACATTTTTCACATTTCGCCACTGACGTTAGACACGCCGTAATTCTGCCGCGCTTCCGCGAGGACGGAACGTTAACCATTTCTCTCATCTCAGGAATTTTATGTCGTATACTTTCGTACTTATCTTAGTGTCGCATTTACATACGTAGCCTGTCGCGCTTCTCACGACGATCTTGGAAGATCCCGTGATCTCTAACCCAGTTCGGTTCGTTTAAACTTGAAGAGCTGTGCTAGTTGCAAGAGTATACATCGTCATTCATCATAAAATCTTTCAACCCCAGCCCGTCCAACACGGATAAATATATTTATATGTACAATGTATATAATTAATAAATTTCTGCTAAGAGAATTTAGTTGCAACTTTATTTTCTTACTCATTAATTTACAAATGTTCTTTATTTTTCAACTTTATGAATAATTTCGTGAATTGTCAGTGCTTTTAAAACGAACGCTATATATTTTAGTAACTTGCTCTTTAATTTTTGCTATGGTAGAAATAATAAAATATTTCAGATTTTTTGGGGGAAATATATTTCTTCATACATCACATATAACTCGTTTAGATCCAAACTAATATTAAATCCTTCTTGTTACAGCTACCCGACCACAAGTGCAGCGGCACGCACAAACCGCGCACTCAGGAGACCTGCAACACCGTGTCCTGCCCGATGTGGGAAACCGATAAATGGAGCGAGGTGAGAGTGCATGAGATTTTACGCGAGTAAAACGCGTCGTTGTACGCGCTCGGCCGAGGTGTAGACATAGACACGGTATCATTTAAGAGCGAAAACGTTAAGCTTTCTCTCGCCACAATCACGGATTTGGATGCATGCATCGGGTCCGGTCGCAAATGCACACATCCACACATTTATTCGCACATACATGTATGCGAACAAAGCACAGCTCTATCTCTGCAGCGCTATCTCAATTGCGAGTTTTACTGGCAGAACGTACTGGCCAGAGGGAAACAGGGTTAATGGCTGCGCACGATTTGCACGCTCTCTTTACCCTCCACGTAAATGTTACCGGGTTGTTACGTGTGTGTAATGACCGATTCGAACAACTTATACTTTGTAGTAAAACGTTCCCTTCACACATTAATATCTGTCTATGTATAATCGATATTATTGCATTAATTATTTATTTATTAAAAACGCGCTAGGATGCGAAGCACGTAAAATCCGCTTCAGCAACTGCTCTTTTATACGTAGCTATTTTATTAAATTTCGCTAATTTGAATAATTTTTTTACATTTTTTATATTTTTAATCTTTAAATAGACTATAAATTACTGGATTAAATCACGAATATAAGTATTTCAATTTCTAGCATTTAACGATAAACAATCAAAAAAATTAATCTCAAAAAAATTTATATAATTAAGAATTGCTTTTATTAATATTTATTAATTTCAATTATTCTTTGTCAATCTCGGGAACAAGAAATAGCAGAGACAAAGATCCGGTAAATTAATAAGAAAATTGTACAGTTAACTCGAGTCTTAAAACATTATCAATGCGAACGGGAAGATTTTACAATTAGCAGAGACTCTCAATTGGGTTCTTCAAATAATCCCAACGCGCACATCTCAAAGCTCGCATTAATTTATCTGTAAATCCGGATCGCGGCGCTATTATACTATTATACGCTCGGACAGGGCACAAACGCGCGCGCATGGAACGCAGAGCAAGGAGAAGCTGCCTTTAATTATAAAACTCTGCTTCCATCCGTTCCATCCTTTTCGACAAGTCACAGTGTACGTGGCATTTAAAGGCAAAGCCAAATTAACGGGGCTGCGCGCGATTTGTACGGTGCGCTTTTGGCGACGGATACGTCAGCGCGCGATTCGAGAGCCATATGAAAATGTAATCTTCCTTCCCTCTGCAATCGCGCAATACACGTCCGCGTTTCTCCGTGCGACAATGCGATTTTCTCCAAAAGCTCTCCACGGACGCACAATAATTGCCGTAATTGTACGCGAATTGGACCGCGACTGAAGGTGAATGAAATTACATTCAATATAAAGACGAGAAACTCCCTAAAGATTTTCCCGGTTGGATGAAAGTGACGGAGCTTTTTACGATTAATCTCGGTTACCGGGATATTAGATTCAATACCTTGTTCGCTACTCTTGATTTTTATATGGAGAAGAATTCGTTTTAGATCGGTTAACGACGAGAGCGATCTGTTTTTGTATCTCAAGCAGAATAAATTTCACCTAGTGAGCTCCGTTTTTCTTCGGTTCATTAGCTATCAAGAAAAAACTTGGCTACCTGCACGTTTTTATTCTGTATAACGACTTCTGGGCGTTTCTAAAGAGAGCGCAGAAAGTCGACGAGTCACAGGAAAGATCGAAACATTCTCGCTACCAGTTGTATATTTACATTCTTTGAATCTGTATTAGTTTTTTTTTTATTTTGTAGTGAAGTCGTAAATTATATTATAACTTTTTGACAATTAATTTTATATTAATATAATTTGATTTTCAATCGGGCAAAAATTACAAAATATAGGTATAAATTAGATTTTGGATTTCAATGAAATTGCGAATTCGAATGTGTTATTAAAGTTCGAATTACGATTAATTCGTAAATAATCTAACTTTTGAGCAAATAACTCGTTTGCGTAGTACACAAAATTATTTCTCTCTTAATTAAGATAATTTATTTATTCGTATCGCTTTATGCGCCAAAAATGCCTTCGTTAAAATATATTTTTTAATCCTTTGCGCGTTGAGTTTTCACTCACAATGCAAAAATTCACGTAAATGAATTGAAACGGAGTTTTAATTTCCACATATATTCGCATATTACGTTCTTGTATTTTTACCGAGGGAGAAATATTTAAGCAAATATATATTAAATGATGTTAAATATAACTTCGTACATTTTTAGCGTAATTTATTGCGTTTGATCTTTCTGAAGCGGATATCGGAGCGGATTCCAAATTAATTAAAGATACTATAATTCTATAATTCGATGTATGAAATTTTGACCGTACATTATGTCTTCATAAAACAGAGATGAAATATCTGCAATATATAATATAAAAATTGCACTTTTCTCACGAATACTAGAACTATTGATTCGACGCTCAGAAATGATTCCAATATCCGTCCTTTCTAAGACGCTCTTATAAAAAAGTATCCTGATTCGGCTTACATTTTTACCTCCATATGAAAGAGATATATATATATATATATATATATATATTTTTCTTCCTTTTCTTTTTACACAAACGGGTTGTATCGAATAGCAGACGAACGTGGATAAAACGGCGCTCTCATTCACGGCACCGTCTTCTGCCCGACGACTAAATCGGATTTTCGCGAAGTCGAGGAATCGCCCGAGCGGAACATGCGGCGAACGGCGACGACAAATCCTCTTCCGCGGCATGAAAGAGGGACGCGTTCCTATTTCTTCCTTCGCGCGAAGATTTGGCGTAAAAATGACAGCGGCAGACTGCAAACTGCACCCTCGCCTCACCTCACTTCCTTCGTGCCGACCCGTGTACGAATTACGTTTAAACCGCACGAGTAGGCGGGATGCCTACGAGAACGAAGCTTGACGTCTCTCTTTGCGAGATGTCTTCCAAGTTTATCACTACTTTTAGCTGTACTCTTTCTGTTCGCGCGGAACTCTTTGAGGACGCTCCAGGCGACGTCAGCCACTAACATCAAACAGAACAATTTAGTTGCCAAATAACCGTCTTTCCGCGCCTTTCGCACGTACCCTTTTCCGTTCGTTCTCCGTACCATCAAATCCCGCTGAGAGACAAACCGCGCTGCCCTTTTTTCCATGGCAAAGGTAGAAGAGGAAGAGAAAAGGAGGAAGGTGTACCGGCGTAAAGAGCTCTTACCGATTCAAGGGAGAAATTGAGACACCGTGATAGACGGAGTGGTATAAGATAGTAGGTAGATAGAAGATCACACGTATATACTATCGTCCTAGACACATCCCTCGAGAGTTATTTAGGTGCGTGAACAATCTCCTTATTCTTGAAATTGCAACATGTGAAATTGAACCGATAAATTCGTTTCCTTGCATTATTTGTAAAGAAATAGAGTATCATTTTCTTTTAAAAATGACGAAAGGCGAATATGAAAAAAAAAAAAAAATGCGTGACGAACTCACGGTGGAAAACATTTTCTTGTTTCATATATATACTTCAACATCGCATCTTACGAAAAATCAAGAAAAAATCAAGAAACAAACTGATAAATTTTCTTTTTTTTCCCCATATTTTACCTCGTCGCTCATTAAATTATTGTGGATAAAATAAGATTACATTTTTCTCAGGAGAGGTAAAAACGTAAAAAGTAGCAAAGTATACGCATATATATTTGCCGGCAGCGTTTTTCGCGGCGTTTCGAGAGGGAAAACGTGAAAAACGCAAGAGAAAGGAGACAAACGGGAGGCGTATACGTAGATATTTTATCAAGAAAAAGACTCACGTGGCTCTCGACAAAATTCCTCGCACACGTGCGGGCATTGTGCATACATGGGCATTATACAATACATATATATGTATACACATGTATATGTATTCGCTCGTCGCCGATATATCGCGAAAGGTCATCGTCGTTAAAAACGTTCGATCTTGCGGACGTCGAAAGAGCTAACGTTGCACAACGCTTTCGTAACGAATGCGATCTCGAGGCTGCTGCACCCTTGATGCAACTCGACTCGCAGGCGCCTGCGAGAGCGTCTCGACGCTCCTTCTGGCACGATCGTTCAACACAATCGCTAGTTTCTTATTCCCACGACTAGTCGAAAATCGCGATAGCTTCTGGAGGCATTCCAGAACTTTGTGATTCGGCGCATTCGATATTTAACTTCGCGCGCAACTTGCATCGCGGTCAATGATGGAGCAGCGGACTTCTACCTCGCCAGATAATTTTTTATCTCGCGTTTATATAAGAGTAAAAATATCAAAATTGTATTAGAATATTGAAAATTTAGGACAGGTAAAAGCATTTTCTGATTTTCCTATATTTGAAACATCTCTATTTTGCTTCGAATAAAAAAGCACGCATAAATAAGCGACTAAAAAAAACAGACAGTCCATCTAGTGAATTATAATTAAGCAACTATGCATAGCTAATAATCTGTTATCGATTTTTTCATTATTTTGACCTGAAAACTAAAATCAGTGCTGCACTCGAAAGAAATAAAGTTTTACATTCATCAACTATGCAAAGCAATCTAAATGTTATAAAATATATTTAAAATAAAAACACTATTGAGAGTAGAATGCGCCAGAGAGTTATCATAAAACGTCTGCATAAAACATAAGGAAGTTCGGCTAAATTTATGCGGCGGTGGTAACCGGAATGTGCATTTACCGATGTTTCGTCGCGTGCGAATACATGCAGTTCAAACAAGCACGGTACATATTGCATAATACTCGAAGGAGTCGACTCTTATGATAGTTTTCCGGCATACTTTCTGGCACAACGTTCGACGACCTGCTTTTTCTCCCTTTCTCTCTCTCTTCGGTCCAGCTTCTCTTCGCAATAGATGCTTAGACGAAAATCGATACATTACCTGGAAGCTTTCCAGAATTTTCATTGTGCGAGACTCATCGCGATTCTAGTACCTCACGAATCACCTATGACTCGAAGTTTGCCGACGCGAAGTAACGAACAACGATGCGGCACTCGCGAATTGAAAGAGAATCTCGTCAAGATTAGAACGTATACGTGACAGTTGCACACGCTATTCGAAATTTCCAGTGATGCGACAAACGCGAGCCACACATGCGAGTTAGACATTGTTTGGGTAACTTTATGATGGATGCGGGCGCTTTAACATTCGACAAACTTCCGCTTCTGAGGTGAACGCGCACTTTGAACCGCCATCGAACGTTTTTCACTTTCTTTAGGATGTTATTCAAATTTATTCCGCAATAAAAGTGTCGCGCGACTTTACATGACCGACAACGCGCGGTACTTATCTACTTGGAATTCCTCCAACTCTCTCGATGCTTGAGCGAACATCTCGGTTCTTTCAATCGCGCTACGCTCTGTACGAAAAGATTCAATGCGAGAATCGAAAGCTTTTCTCAAATATTTTTTGTTGTTTTCCAGATCATTCGCGTTAAAGTCCCTTTCAGTCAATGCATAATTTTGCACCTTTCAATGTATGAGTACCCAGGTGTTAACTGCATGTTTCCGACACATTTTATTGCGACAAATTTTTATAGCTGCTGTGTGAGCGGAGAAAAGTTTCCACACGTTTTTAAAGTTATTTAGGATACCTGAATATTCGTTCATTGACAGAAGGATTAAATTGTAATTATACTTGCAATTATGATATTATTTATAACAATCATAAAACGTCATATAAAAGTTTCAGAAAGAAATATGTATGTATATTCGGTAAAGAGATTCTTGAAGACAGAATTTGTCCAAGAGTCAATTGCGTTAGAAAATCCTTGTGAATCGCAAACTCTTTGTCCAGTTATACATTGCGAATTCCCGCTGTGGGTGAAATGACTTCTTATATGATCCTCGAGAATGCAACCTCGTTGCATAAATAAGGACATGACGATGAACGTCCGGAAAGATAACAGTAAAGAATGGTGTTCGTACGAGTTTTCGTGAACGTCTTCCCCCGTTCTCTTGAGCGAACTAAAGTTTCTCGGCAGATACGTGAAGGGAAAAATCTCCGCAACTTCCCTGCGGAATGTAGACGTCATGCTTTATTCATGAGGTCGCTAAATGCGACCCGTTGCACTAGATGTGTATTTATTGCGATATCCGCTGCATGTGTAAGGCGCAATATTTTGTTGACCATGTATTGCGATACTAGTCTGCTTTATACATGATATCTCGAAGTTCATCTCCTTTTTTTCTCTCAATCTGTTTGCATAGAATGAATATCAGATAATCGTTTATGCTAAAAATGCATGAATTTTTGTGTTAAAAATTATAAATAGATTTTCTCATTATAAACATATTTCTTTTATAAATAATTTATATTTCTAATGAGAAACAAAATTAATCATAACTAACTTGAATAAAATTTTATTATTTTATTGTGCTAACTCAAAAAAATATTAGACACTAAAAATAATAGTTTTATTCAAACAAATTCATTAATTGTTTTCTTATTATAAATATAAATTACTTCATAAAAAATTAAAGATATTAAATAAGAAATTCTGCTTAGTAGTATTTAATATAAAAGTTTATGCATTTATCTATATAAATTGTGATTCCACTTATTTTCAAAAAAATAAAATTTCGTTCATATCTTTAAAAAAAACTTGTGAACGATACGTATAGTACAGCAAAGTATATTTTACACGATTAGACAGATATAAACGATATCATCTCTATCTTCCGAAGAATATTATTTATCTCGCGCAAATAAACAAATCGCTATCCCATTACGTTCATTCACACACATTCGCACCAATGAGTGTATTACGCAGGTAAAGCGGATAAATCTTCCCAGTCATGTGCAGGCAAAAGTGTGCGGTACCCATGATTTACGGCGCTTCATTTCTGATCGATACACAATGGCCCGTCCCCGTTCGCTTTCGAGAACCGGCAGCATCCCGAATGGCGCTCTTTCTGGTAGCGATACATAAAGAGGTCTCGGTGCCCGTCAGCGTAGCACGGTAATGATTTCATCCGTGGAGCTCAGGGAAGCGCCCCCTGAGAGAAGACAGGAATTGATAGATTTCTCTCTTTTGTGAGCGCCCGGGAGCCATGCAAATATTGAACTGAAAGCACAGGGCTCCTTAAAGCACTCCCTTTCCCTCCCCTTTGCTATCGAGACTCTTTCCAAGTTATATAGCTCGACCATGAAAAGCAAAGACAGACGGAGAGAGATGAAGGATGAAGAAGAGCGAAGGGCCGAGATGAAAAGGGGAAGAGGGTTTGAGACGGTGCGGTGGCTTGGAGAAGGGAAGGGAGTCTAAGTTAAGTAGGTTTCCGCTTTTCCTTTCGTGTGTCACCTTTCCACCTTCGACCTTCTGAACGATAGCTCCCCACATCCGAGCACTTTCTTTATTGTCTTCCACATTTTCGTATTTCCTTCTCTGTCTCCTTCCTCCATTATCTCTTTTCCGCCGATTTTCCTTTTGCCAGATCCGTCTTTGTCCTGGTACTTTCCTCTCATCTCTTTCTCTCTTTCTTTTTCTCCCTTTCAGATTCATTGCGAGCGAGAAACTTTGAGAGTGTAACATACCTCGGACGAGACTTTTCGGCTTCGACGAAATGAGAACCGAAAATAGCAATCCGGAATTTTAAATTAAACCGTGCTTCGATATTAGCCTGCCATGGAATGTGGTGCGAAGTTACCGAGCCATTAATGCGCCCCAAGCAATTTCGATTGCATCTTTCCCTACTTTCGAAGAAGGGCGAGAATCTGGAATTTCGTCTTTCGAATAATCCCCTGTCAAACAAGACAAGCATTTGTCCCGTTATTATAAATTATAAGAAATACATTAGTTATATAATATTCTTTATATGCCACGTACTTTTTCATTAAGTTATAAAAAAATATCGACAACATATTACGCATGTTCATTGTCTAATCACGAGACAGTTTAATTATTATGCAATCTCTGCACATATAATTGCACATATTATGAATTATCTCTATTGATCTACTTGAAGAAATAATTGTTTTGCGTTCCTAAATTGTTAACGTATCTCCGAAATGTGAATTTCTCTATAATTTTTACAAGTCGTCTGTATTATTCCGCGCTTTTTATCGGTCCGTATTGCGTCTCATTACAATTCTACGTGAAGTGTGCATTTTAACTTTTTATTTATGCAGTGCTCCGTGACCTGTGGTAGCGGAATACGGACGAGGACGATCGAATGCAGAGACGGTGTTGGTGCCATCTCCAGGGACTGCGACCCCGCGGAACGTCCTCATACCGAGCAGGAATGCAAGACGAGCGTCGCTTGTCCCACGTGTAATTGCGTTATGTCTGAATTAAACTCGTATTGGATTGAACGGCAATTTAACGTGCCATAAGCGGCGATATCCGAAAATTCATATGCAATATTCCATAAGTTAATTACGCGGAGAATCAGAGGTGGACCTACAATGAAAACTAATGAATTCCGCTTCTCAGGTCCCGAACTCTGTCGAAGGGATTTCATATCCACTAAATTTCACAACAAATAATTGTCAATATTTTTGGATTCTTTAACGGAGATTTAGGTTCTTTATAATTTGGAAAGAGCACGTATTTTTTTCAAAACGCATTCTTATGTTCTGATAAGAATTTTTCCAAATAATGCATATAAGGCCTGTAAATCATTGCTTACTTTGAAATACGATACTAATTTTTAGATTCAAAAGATTGGAATAATTTTTTTTTTTTAATTAAATAATTTGAAAAAAAAATTATTGCTGATAAATATTCTTTGGATTATATTAAATCTTTTTATTATCGTTGATCGAATACGGGCGTGTATGATTCGTTGGGCGAAGAATAGCAAAGTTTTGACAATTTATAAACTGTTACTAAGGATTATTTGACGGGCTTTATCGTGCGGAACAAACTTTAGAAATAAAGTCCCAGGCGAGCCGGAAAAATATCGGGAGACGCGGTTATCGTGTGCAAAGGGAATATGCATAGAGAATGAGACGGCATACGAAATGTTATTTAGATGGAGACGGTATGACGCAGCCCCTAGTGCAACCGTATCCGCTATCCCCGGTGTCAGAGAAGTTGATGGACCAGCCAATACCTTCCGAATCAACGTAAGTAGTACTCTCGAATATATCCTATATACTGCATACACACACACACACACACACACACACACACACACACATATATATATATATATATATATATATGGGTTTTCAACTGTCGAGTATTTTACAATGTATTGACATTATAGATCTTATTAAGTTCTATTTCATTTTAAACAATCACTGTGCATAGATGGATAAATGGATAATCTAATAACTACAAGTCACTCTGACAGACAGGAATAGAAAATTGTAAGAAATTGAATCGAAAAAATTGCATATATATATAACCAAATAATATTACAATCAAATTAGCGCAATATAATATATTAATTAGCGCAACATAATTGAAGATTTTTTTCTTATATTTATAATTCAATTTTTACGATTTAATATATATAATTATGAATAGATTTATGTTGATTATAAATAATCTAAAATAGATTTTGTATATCAATATATGTTCTAAGCTATTTCAAAGCTATTTTATCTTTTGGGATTTGTTTTGACAAATTCAGAGTTGAAAATTTTTATCATAATATTGATCAGAAATCGATCCTGCGGTATTCTTTTTTTATTTATAATAATTGTAATTGAAAAGTGGTTCGTGAAAATATCTCGATAGGATATCTCGATAGGATATTTTATTATTTTTTCATAAGGCAATTCGAAAAAAATAAATAACTATCTTGTTTGATTTAATTTAAGATTCAATTTAGATAATCTCTCCAAAACTATCAAATAATTAATTCATCAGATTTTCGGTTGATATTAACTTTCCGTTTCGCTATAATCCTCGTGGAATATGTAACATCGATCGCAATTCGAGAACAATTGCTGCAGTTTTAGAACAGCCATTACCATCGTAGCGAAATTCCATAAGATATTGGTCCTAGATTCTCTTCAGTCAGCGTTTGTAACTTTCTCTCTGTGTATGGTATTATCTGACAATTTCCTCGTAGCTTTAGCACCTATAACGCGTCATTTCACCCTTCCGTTATCAAAACGATTTCATCTGTCACAAATCTATTTTGTACGAGGATGAGTGAGGACAAACTTTAGCTGCATTTACTTAAGCATAATTGTAATCGCAGTTCTCTAATCTCTCCTAAATAAAATTATAATTATTTAAATTACTTCAGATTTGTTGTCTTCTAAAGAATTTTTGTTTCACTTTATTCCAAAAAGAGGAAAATTAATTTTAAGTAATTTTCAATAAATAGAGCTTAATAGAATTTGACGTATAACGTATAAAGCAAGGAGAAATGTTTTCGAATTCAAGAAGCATTGATGCGAAATAACATTGTGAACGATATACATCGAAATCCTTTTTCTGAAATTAGTAAAATAATCGAAGTATTTGCGGCTAACAAATTACTTACTGACGTGAAAAATTATCCAACCACAAATCAATTAAAATGTTTTGATTGAATTATATGAAATATTCAATAGAAACGTATACAATAGAAATAATGCACATTGTATGCAGAAAAACAATAAATGTGTGAAACAATATTCATTTAATTTCCGTTCGAAATATTTGTTGAACAATAAAGATATTGAAAGTAATACATAATATAGACATGTGAAGTTTCATTAATTAAATCTCTTTCACATACACATACAACATAGATTTAGATCATGTTAAAATAATGCCATTATAGCACAATGTGCTTAATGAAAAAAAAAATGTACAGTCAAATACTTTATTTAATCCGACAAGTATTATATTGGATATTTCTGCTAGGATTACAGTTGATAAAATAAAGTCCACTGTATCTTTTTACATCACTATTTTTACGAATACACACATACTTACATAATTAATTAAATATATTATAACATTTGTGTGTGCTTATGAATGATCGTATCAAATGAAATATAGTTTTATTTTAATATTACAAGGCACACGTGTGTGTGCGAGATGTTTTGTAAGCTATACGTCAAATTTCTATTACAATCTCCAGTGAAGTTGAAGATTGTCTTTTTCTCGGTAGAAAAAGAAATTAGACAGAATTTTTTACAGTCGCATATTTGAAATAAAAAATAATTTATATACGCTTTAAATCTCTCTTAAGTGCTCCTACCTCGAAAGTGGGTTACCGAATCTTGCGCGCCCATCGCATTTTTCATCCTTCCGTGACCTAAAATCCCAGTTACCGGAGTTTCCGGCCGGATGCGTCTTTTTATCGCGTTATATATAACTTATGCCAATCCGGGAGAGATCAATCCGAGTTCAATGGGAATTTTTTCTACTTCAGCTTCATCGCCGAGGAATGGTCCCCTTGCAGCGTCACCTGCGGCGAGGGTGTCAGGCGTAGGGAGGTACACTGCAAGATATTCCTCGAGTTCAGTCAGACCATCGCCAAGCTGCCTGACAATCAGTGCTCCGGCCAGAAGCCGGTCGAGACGGAGAAGTGCACGATGGAGCCGTGCGGCTTGCTCGAAAACAGCCTCTCCTACAGGATCGGCACGAATGGCGAGAGCGGATACGCCGAATCGAGTTTGACAGATACATATAGTAGTAGATCATCGTCGGGCAGCTCCGTCGGAAGCAGCTACGACAGCAGCATCAAAGTTGCCCCGGGTAGCGATGTACAGACTACGTACTCGTGGAGAGAAAGTGGCTACACCCCCTGCAGCGCCACTTGCTTAGGAGGTAACGAACGCGCGATTATTCGCCAAGATTGCTTCTGATATTCTAAGATGTCTCGAACGGATAAGAGATCACCATTCGGAGTGCTCCAGGCCTCAGATTCGACCTGTCATGAATGAATTTTGAAGTGACAGATAGCTTCAACTTCTGAAGCCTGCGTTAAAAATGTTCTTATATTTTAAGAAACGAGGGGGAAGAAATTCGAGGAATTATCGATTTATTTTTTAAAAAGTATTCACGAGCTCTTATATACATCTTACACTCGAATAAAATTCAATTCTATGTATATATCTTTTCTACTACATTTAAATATGCATTTTTATATTTTAATTAGATACATCTGAATATTTTTTAACTTAGTAAAACGATTTAATCTCTTCTATTTTGATATTTTGTGACTTTTTATGCAGTATTTATATAAACGAAACATGAGAGCCGTATACACAGTTTGTGCAAAGCTGGGATGAATCGTTTATCGAATAGGATTAGCGAAACGAATTTAATTCGTCGACATCATAGCCTGGCAAAATCGATGTCATTGTGCAATTAACAGCGCTCAAGTATAATCGTATTAAGTTTAGTCTGTGTCGACTAACGCGATACAAAGGGGCGAATGTACGGTCCGGGGCGGATTATCTGTAGTTTACAGCGGATCTTGTGCGTTTACAGATTACGTGTACATGCATCTCTTTTATAGGTGTTCAGGATCTTATTATAAACTGCGTGCGTGACGACACAGGGAAGACCGTGATGCCGCTTCTATGCACCGCGGAAACGAAACCAGAGGCAAGAATACGAGTTTGTAACGACCATCCGTGCCCGCCCAGGTAAAGTAATTGCAAGTAATACTGATTAACAGATATCGATTTAATATCTAATCGTTAGGATGTGCTTCACGTTACATAATGCTTGTTTAATCCCAGATGTATACCCTTCTACGATATCACGATAACTTAGACTATCGAACGTATCAATCTTCGCTCTCACTTGTAAGAAACGGTCTCTCATTAAGTATTTAATTTTCTTAACGAGAGAAACACATTACGGTTTTAGGAATATTTCTGTTAGATGCGTACAAAGAACAAAGACTTGAAGAAGAAAAAATTTACCTGTTCCGATGTTTTAATGGCTTTTTTCTCTTTGTATATAATCTCTATTTTTTATTCTATCTTTACAACAGATTTAGAATATTCGAGAATGATATACGTTTTGCATACACATATATTACTATGTAAACTCGTGATTTTGCTATACATATGTGTGGCTGGCAAAAATGTAATTATGCTGTGACGCACACACAAACTCTCGGACATACCTCCGCGTTATCTTTCCTGACAAATGTGTCATTATCTGCGTCCGCAGGTGGAACTATAGCGAATTCTCTACATGCATGAGCCCTTGCGGTATTGGTATACAGACACGTGACGTTACCTGCATCCACGAGGTGACACACGGGACTGGCAAAGCAGTGCCCGTTCCAAATTACATGTGTCCGCAGCCACCGCCCGCCGACAGACGATACTGCAATGTCTGGGATTGTCCTATCAAGTGGAGCACGGGGGAATGGGGCAAGGTATATTTGTACATGTCGTGTATGAATTTAATAATGAAGAGGGAAGGAAACTCTTTGTTGCGCACGAAGGAAAACAGCGATACAAATTACTCTCTTTATGTGTCAAATCATAGTTTTATAGAAGTACTTAATAAGAATCAAAAATAGTTCATAGTTTTAAAAAAAAAATCTCTTATCTCAAAGTAATCGGGAAATTGAAAAATTTAAATATAATAATATAGATGTTTTAGTCATTTTTGTTAATTTCTAGCATTATTTTTTTCTTAATGAATTTTTTATTTTATATATTTAATTGTTTATCTATAATTTCAAGATTATAGCTATCGGATGTATCTTATATTTAATTATAACAGAATGTCTTAATTAATAATTTATTAAGATACATAAAGAGCGTTTCAAAATTTTCTAAACTTCGACGATGACGTGAATTAATTTTAGTGTTCAAGAACATGCGGCGGTGGTGTGAAGAAGCGAGATGTAGTCTGTGAACAAATAATGGCGCAAGGTCGCAAGCAGAGTCGCGAGGACCGCGAATGTCCAGCTCAAAAACCACCTAATGAGAAACCATGCAATACCAGAGCCTGTCACGCTTCCGACTCAAGTGTGCTACCAATAATCACCAGTTTGAATACAACATACAATCAAACGGATATTAATGCGAAGGTGGATTTAAGAATCGGCGGAATCGCCAAGATTTTTCAAGGGACACCTTCTATCAAAATTCGTTGTCCTGTCAGAAAGTTCGATAAGTAAGTGTAAGCTTTGCGATTTTATTATAATATCTATGTGATTAGAATAACTGCAATATAATAATGTTATCAGAGCGCAGATCGTTTGGAGGAAAGACAACAAAGAAATACGGAAATCAAGAAAGTTCAAGATTAGCAGGAAGGGAGCTTTGAAAATAATCGACATAGTTTCTTCGGATTCGGGAACTTATGCCTGTATTGGTAAGCGATCTGTCTCGCTTGTCATATTCTACGTTTCATCTCGATTTCGATATGTTACTGTGAGAAATGCGATGGTAATTTTCTAGCTGGAGATTCGCACGCAGAGACGCAGTTGATAGTAAAATTTCGCTCCAAAGAGCAGATAAGTAGTGAAGAATATTTACGACTCGGCAATTCCGTTCACCTACAAAGGAATGCAAATCTCGATTCTGCACCAGCGAATTCAGGTGAAAGTCCTTACACCGATCATGCAGGTGAGAAAAATGTTCGAACTTTTATTTAAAAAATTATGTTTACTTAAGACATATTTTTTTAAATAAATTATATAGCCCCTCGTTTAAATATAAATATAGTAATAAAAATAAAACATTTTTTCGTGCCTTTAATCGTGACATTTCTATTTCAAAATATTATTCTGAAAATCAAAAAAAATTTCGAAAAAAATGATAAAAAATTGAAACATTACAAATTTTAAAAATGATAAAAATTACTAGTAATAGATATTTAATTTCACAATATTGGTGGTTTTTTGTAGCGGTTTATGGAAACCGTTTTGATAGCGAAGATCTCAGTCATGAACGTGCGATTCCTAGCAAACCAACGAGAAAACCACAAAAGAAGCAGAAAGCCAGTCCTGCTCCGTCAGATGCCACAGTGATGCAAAAAGAACACACTGTTACTTCTTTCAATCAGGTACGCGAGAAAACAGAGATTCTATTAGCATTAGATTAAATTGTCTCTTACTAATTCTTTGCGTGTATCTTGACATTGCTTAACAAATCGCGTACGCATGAAACTTGTTAAACTAACTTTCTGGTGATGGTTCTATATTCTTTGCTTTGCACTCGTGGACTTTCCTTGATGTCGACTATTCGATATTTGACTGTCAATCAGCCGGGATATCATGAGTCTGTGGAATCACCCGCTCCATCAAGTGCTTCTGCTCTTGTGCCACACATGAGCTACTTGATATCGAGCTTGAAGGTAAGACGTTAATATGTGAGCAAACTTGACGAACATGTGACGCGCGTCTGTCTATCTGTCCCTGATTTCTACCGCTCTTGTATAATAAATTTTTTAACGCTTTACTGATTCGACATATATATATATTCGTTACATTCTGTCAAATTTAATGTTCGATATTAACGCGCTTTATGACAGGCCTATTGGCCGTTTCGCAGCGAAATAGGCACGAGTAATAATCACAAGGCTGCTACCACGTCATTCGGAGATGAACACAAAGGATCGGCGACGACGAAGCACAGAATGTCTAATAGGAAGACCGACTTTATGTATCAAAGTCTCGAGGATAACTTTGACAGTCTGTATCGCAACACTGCCATTCCCGACGAGACCTTTGGCCCAGACGAAGAACGGATATTCATCGACGTCGATCCCTATGACCTGGACGAATCTATATTCGGGCTACAACACGGCGACGGTGTTAAATCGATGTCCAATGTAATGGAGAAAGTGGATACCGAGCTTACCACGAAGCCCGATATCGATTATATCGAGGAGTCGCTAAAAAATGTGAAACGGCAATGGCAAGACTCGCGAAATAAGTACAAAGATCAATGGAGTACCACGCCCAAAAGTCACGTTCAGAGCAGAGTTATGACTGAGTCCATCACGTCTACGCGAAATAGTGGGGTGGATGTGTATTACGTCGAAGAGTCGAGCACGAGAAAGGAAATATTCAAGGAGGGCAGCAGTTTTGCTGACGATAGTGATAAGTCCATCAATCACGACGCTTATGGAAACTCGAGAACTAAAGATGCATCGATCACCTCGACAATTATGTCTAGAAGTCTCGAGGATCAGTTAAGGATACCGGAATCGGACCATCGTAATTTAAATCGCGCAAACAAGACAATAGAGTATAGTGATGCGTTCGAAGAAGAATTAGATAAGCGAAAAATCGAATCATATGTAGAAAATCACACGACAGATTATACAATCGTACGATTTCCGACTAGTAGAAATCTGGAAAATAAAGCGAAGGAAGATGCGACGTTGATAAATGATCGGAAGTCAAGTATTGTTGAGGAGGATCCTGACGAAGATGTAAGAAACTTATCTCGCAATCGAGAGAATCATGCTGGTTCTATAGAGAAGACCTTAGTTAATCTAAAAGAGTCCTCTCCAGAGAAGCAACATTCGACCGATGAAGATAAATCCGCGAACGTTTTGATCTCCACTATAATGAGAGAAGACAATACAACGAAGGATCCTGATGTGGAATCACTCACTGTATTAGGTAAGATTTTTGATTAGATGAGTTACATTGCCTTGATGATGATTGGTTCAATAATTAAACGAAGGACTTATAATGCAGCTACGGACAATGTTCTGGTGTTCGAATGGGTCACGACCGACTGGTCAAAGTGTTCTCAAACTTGCGGAGGAAGCGGATTTCAGGTAAGATCATTTTTCCGTGATTAACTTCTATGATTAACAGGTAAGATTATGATTAATTTTATTTTGAAAATTTATAATTCTTTAAGTTTATTAAAAAAAGAACAATCTGTAAAACGATTATCGTCGTTAAGTAATTATTTAAAAAATATTTGAAGATAAATTATGTTTAAAAACTTATATAACAATTTTATATGCTTATTTTTTTACTTATTATTTTTTTTTCTTTCATATAATACTATTTTTAAATATTTTCGAAATCGAGTCATGTTAATTAAATTGTAAATAAGCAGTATATTAAAAATAACAACATTATATAATAGCAAAAATATCAAAATTACTTATTACGACATTCATTTTTACAGATGCGAGGTGCACAGTGTACAGTACGATCAATGAGAATGGACGGCGATTCCAAGCACATTTCGCCAGGATCTGTTATCGGTCAAAAATTATGTGAGGACGCCGGACATCCAGTACCCCAGAAAGTGAGACCCTGCGGATCGGGCAGGTGTCCTCAATGGCACACTACGGAGTGGACACCATGTGAAACGTCAAGATGTTTCAATTGGAAAACAGCGATGCAAAAACGAGACGTCAGCTGCCGCTTGGCGTACGACACGGAAGAGAATGGTCGAGAAAACGCCACGTTGTTGGATCCGAGCAAGTGCGATGAAACCACGAGGCCGTTACAAAGACAGGAATGTTATAATGAGGCTTGCAAAGGCGTCTGGAAAGTCGGCGAATGGTCGGAGGTAAATAGGAATAAAAAATTGATGCGATAATAATATATACTTTTATGCTAATGACATTATCTAACATTGTACAGTGTACCGCGTCTTGCGAAGAAGATGGTACCAAATACAGGATTCTACAATGCGTCTGGTTTGGTACAAAAAAGCCGGCGGGAAACGCTTGTAGAGATATACCACGACCTTCTGTGATGAAAACGTGCAGAGGTCCGCCTTGTCCTCAATCTCCCGGTAAATTTTTCTATATCAACTCTTAAAATTTGTTTAGCCTTTATACTAATTATAAAATTATACTAATTATCACAATTATTGACATGATAATATAATTCCATATCAATTCTTTAATAAAGTGGATTAATGATAATATGGTTATATTGTGATTAATAATGATAAATATTTGTAGAAGATTGCAAGGACCATTCGCAATTGTGCAGCAGGGTGAAAGTAATGAACATGTGCAAGGTGCCGCTGTACAAGAAACAGTGTTGCGCATCGTGTCGCTAAGAATCCAAGACAAATTGATCGTGACTTATTGTGACAAAATAACGCGATAATGAAGTGCGCGTGAGACAGTATGCAAATCGTGATTTATAGTCGGACAATTACCTGACATATGTAAACGCACCCGGGATGCCTGTTAGTAAATTATGTAACGCACACGAAAGGAGTGCGCGATATTACTGTGAAATAATACATTGCACAGTTATTACAATGTCCGATTTACATAGATAAAAAATATCCAAAAAAAAGAAGTTGACCAAAACTACTTCGCTGTAATAGTTTCCTCGTCGTATCGTCGCGAGAACTCATTCACCTCCTTGCCTCGAATGTTCCTTATGTAACAAAGAAAAACCCGCCAATCTTAACACAGTTTATCTAACTAATTAAAATCATAATTTTCCAACACATATGCCACATAGTTTGGAACGTTTTCTTATAATTGTGCACGCTCATATATATTGTCCTGGTTAACAAGAAAAGACAGAAAACAAAGTAAAAATCTAGTATTCGTCCAAGAAAGTTGAAAGAACGTTATATTGTTATGGTTTAATGAGAAAAAGAGAGCAGTAGAGACTTATTTGCTATGTGCTGGAAAAGACGTTATTGCGATATACCGTTGAAAGCATCACGTTATTAAATGTTGTCAATGTTGGTGCTTTAAATCGAACGGAAAATGGCTTTAAGCAGAATTATATTCAAATTGTAATAAAAATGCTATAAAAAAGAATATGAAAAGTTGGAAAGCACGAGTTAAAAACATTTAATTTGTATCGCAAAACATAATTAGAAGCATTTCTTCTTGAAATTTATCTTTTACATATCTTCTCTACAATGAACATAATCGATTTCATTTATTTTTAAACGGAGAAATTTCATCCTTTAAGACTGAAATGTTCGTCTCTTTGCGTATCATTATTTTGGGACATTAACATAAACAGAATCGCGTTACGTCTCAAAGAAATTACCTTTACATTCCACTATAAATTAGTAGAACTATATTTTAGCTCTGTCTTTGTAAACACGTATATTTATCGATATACTATCTCTCTTTATGTTTGTAGAGTCTGATATAAATTATTGCAAACGTAAGATGTATTAAAAAGTTATTTAAAAATATAAGTTATATGAATGAATTATATGCGCCTATAATAAACGTCCTATCGGACGATCTCTTAAGCCAATAGATCCTAAGAGCAATAAAAAATATATAAGTATTGTAATATAATATTTTGTTAATAACCTCTGGCGAAAATTCGTGAACATGATTATTCCGTTGTTGGTTAAAGAACTCGATTTCAGTTACGTGTCTCTAATCACTTCAATCTAGATGTTATCACGGAGTAATTCCGAATATTCATTTATCGCGTATTTATTATACGTAGGATTCATCGATGAAATTTATAATTCGATATTTTCAATAAAAGCGAAGTAAAGAATTATAGATATCTATATATTAATATGATTTGACATAAGATTGTGAACAGATTTTCGCTATCAACGAATTTGCCTCGACACAGCTAAGCAGTTTGCCAAAACGAGCTGACATAAATAAAATAAAAATAAATTAGAGAATAAAAATATATATAAATTAAAGTCAAGAGAGAGAGATAAAAAGCATATTATGAGCTACACATATAAATTACCGAAATGCACGCATATGTGAATACGACTTTATATGTTAGTATATGTATATATATATATATATATATATATATATATATATATATATATATAAATAAAACTAAAATATACAGTGAATAACTTTAAATACGCGGGATGCATCAAAAGTCGAAATGTTTCTGTTATTTAGTTACGCATTCCTTAAATATTTAAGAAATAATATACGACTTTTAATACATCCTATATACGATTACGGCTGGCAAATATGTGTAAACTGCCATCAATTTGTCATGTATACTTGCCATCTTGTATACCACTGTCATCTTTTAGTAAGCATTTAATTAATATTTATCTTACGGCAATACATTTCCAATGTATTATTGATCGATACGGTATATCACTCAAAAAGATAACTTATTTTCCAGTTAATCAACGTAATGTCATGACAATTCTTAAAAAGATAATGAGTTCTGACACATTTTTGTATATATCACGATGTAGGTATGTAAAATGGCTCCACACTTAGTATTGTACCTAAGCATTACTGTTCATGATATCTATGTAAATATGTAACTGCCTAAATGCGAATAAAACAAGAGACTATATCACTGCACATAATACTGCAGTTATTTTTCTTAAAACTTATTTAGTGAAATATCAATTTCAAACATATAATAAATATATGTATTGCATGTTATATGTATATATCATAATCTTCTTATAAAATCATTCATTATAAAATCACATATTTTTTTCAATCTACTGTATATCAAATATTATACACATATGTATAACAATATTAAATATTACTATATAAATATAATCAAAAATATAAATTTATTGCTTTCATAATTGATCATCGTTTTCAGCAATATTATTTTCGATAATATTAATAATTGTAAATAACTTTTGAGGTAAAGGTTTAAGCATATATTGAGAATGTATATGTATAATGGTATAAATCAAAGTATTATAACTATGAAATTATAATTTTTCAAGAAAATTATATAGTTATTTTCTTTTTAAAACATTTTTAGATAAACGTATAGATAAGGGAACTTTAAAGATTTTCATGAAAGTTATTGTATGCATTTGTGAAATATAAAAAACGAATCTGTTTGAAAAGAATTGCTGCTATCTTATTTGTTATATAATCATGTTTGAATATAATGATTAAAAATATATTTTTTAATTTTTTTAAGAAATTTATGTAATTATTAATTTAATAAAAAAAGTTTTCTTAACCCATTTTTTTGAATTGCGTTATAGTTAATTTTTGGTGATTATAATCTCTACAAATACATATGTATATATATATATATATGTATACATTCATGCAATACTCAATACATGACTCACCGATACGATGCACAACAATGGACCTTTATAGCATAAGCGTTGATCTATAATATATAAAAAACAAATTATTTTATGTATATAAAAAATAGTTTTAAAATAATTAATATTTAAAAAGTCAATAAGTAAAATATATTTAATAATATATATTTAATAAAATTTAAATCATAAAAATTATTAAACTTCTCAATAATTCTTTTAGATAAATTTATAAAATATTATAAATTTAATTTTTATAAAAATTAAGTTAAATAATTATAAATTGTATAAACAGTAATATTAAAATTTTATATATGTATAAATATATATATATATATATATATATATTTATATATTTATATAATTAATTTACATAAATTTATTTTATATATATATAATTATAATCTGCTTAATTACCGCATTATTGCTCTCCTTTTCTTCCTCCCCTCTTAATTGTTCGTACTTATAGTGTCTTTTTGGCACTTACACTACACACGCTCGCAAAAATACAATTACGCGCACACATTAATTAGCAAAATAAAATAATTGCACGACAATTTGAACGGCACTCCCGAAATTAATCGTACGTGACTTTACACACGGCACTTTCGATTTTAATATACTTTGTGCAGAACTCCCGACATTAATCGTATATGTAACTTATTTTCATACTTCATCGGCACTCCCGCTTCTAATTGTACGTATATTTCATGCGCTTTGTTAATTATATGAAACGTATATTTAAAAGAACAACACGCGACAATTACAATTAAACGAAGCTATGATCCGCGCGTCGTGACCCAGAAAATTTACGCGGGAATAATGGATATCGCCACAGTGATGCCAACTTAGAAATGATCTCTCTTTCGCGATGAATCGATCATTGAAAAGATCGATTAACATAGAGCGCTTCACTCGACGTAATAAATGCTTCAAATATTTTGATAATTCAGAAGAAATATTTTTCTCTTATTTCAAAATAGTTTTTATATTTATTGGCGACAAGAGGAAAATGTTTCTTTCTACTAATTCAATCAAAATATTGTGCGAAGTACTTGTCACGTCGAGTAAAGCGCTCTATGTTAATCAATTTTTCAATGATCGATTCATCGCGATATTCTCTAATTCGATAGTTGGCATCATTGCGGCGACATCCCGCGATTCCCGCGTAAATTTTCTGCGTTGCGCCGTGCGGATCATTTAATTGTAATTGTCGTGTTCTTCCAAATATGTTGCATATAATTAACAAAAACGGAAAAATATACGATTAAAAGCGGAAGTGCCGATAAAGTACGAAAATAAGTTTCATATACGATTAATTGTCATGGTTCTGCTCAATATATGATTAAAATCGAAAGTGCCGTGTATAAAGTCACGTACAATTAATGTCGTTCAAATTGTCGTGCGATTATTTTATTTTGCTAATTAATGCGTGTGCGTGATCGTATTTTCGCGAGCATATGTTGTCTAATTGTCAAAAAGTACAAACAATTAAAAGAGGGAGAGGAAGAGGAGGCCTGGGGAGAGAGGCATCGGAATTGACGGAACATCCATGAAGTAAGTAAAATATAATTAAAACAAATTTATATATTATATATAAATGTATATATATATAATTATATGTAATTAATATAATTACATATATAATTTATATAAATTTATTAAAAATTTTTATTAAAAATAAAATGTAAAATAAATTAATATTAATAAAAATAATTTTAAAAAAAAATTTTAAAAATATAATTTGGGAAAAAATAAATATGGATATTTCAGGTAATTTTTACAGAGAAAGAAGAAAATTATTGTATTAAACTTTATTATAATTAATAAAAAATGTATATATATGTATTATAATTTTAATATTATATTTATACAATTTATAAATAATTATTTAACTTATTTTTTAGAAATTAAATTTTGTTATATTTTATATAAATTTAGATTTTAAAAATAATTAAAAACTTTAATAATTTTTATAATGTAATTTTATTAAATATATTTTGCGGTACGAATAAAAGTTTAATTGCGCATTATTGACTTTTTCAAGTATTAGTTATTTTGAAAACTATTTTGTATACATATAATTTGTTTTTTATGTTATAGATCAACGCTTATTTGTACTATAAAGCTATTGCGCATCGTATCGATGAGTATATTGCATGTATACATATTAACATTATCTGCATATGTAGATTAATCACCAAAAATTAACTAGAGCGCAATTTAGAAAAGAGTTAAGAAATTATATGTTAAATTATATATATATATAAACAAATTTATGAAAATATGTTAACTTTTTCATTAAATTAACAATTAATTACATAATTTTCTATAAAAATTTAAAAAATATATGCCAAGCAAATAAAAGTATTAAAAATTCTCGTTTTTGGTTCACGTACATTTACATGAACATGATTAAAATTTTTTCGTGATTATTTCTGTTATACATATGTATATATTTACATATACAGATATAGAGGCGTACAATAAAGGTATAGAAAACAGAATAAGAAAAAGAAAAGCAGAGAAAATAAAAACACTTTAATATAAAACATATAATTTAATAACACAGAACAGAGAAATTTCATCTGTTTCGTAGCACTATTTCTCTGTTCCTCTATTCTGCATTACTAAATTATTTTTTATATGTTTTATATTAAACTGTTCCTTATTCCCTGTTTTCTGTTTTTTATTCCTTATTTCTTTTATTGTACGCAGCCTCTAAATCTCTCGATAAATTTATTAATACAATTGGCACAATGTGACATGCAATTGCGAACACGCAGAATTCACTTATTGTTAATGAAACTACATTTGAATCGATATATCGATATGATATATTGCGTATATGACAATCGCCTGATATTTTTCTATTACTTTTATTATTTTCTTATTTCTTCAGTAGTAGAAATATGACAATTCTATGAAATACCGATAAAAATAGTATTATTAAAGGAATTAATAAAGTAATGAATATTTAATATATAAAGATTTCTCAAATTACTGATTTTTAAAACTCTTGTATTATATGTATTTCGCGTTATAGAAATCTACTCGAAAAATATATTGCTCTTGATCAATTTTTTTTTAAGAACAAAAGCTATTTTTCGAGATTTAATTTTTACGTCTGGAACATACATAAAAATATACTTATATTTCGAAAAATTAGGCCGCAACTTTTAACGTGTTTAACATAATTAAGAAATAAGAAAGTTTTGTATTTAAGAAATATAAAACTGCATCGAATCGAATTACAATATTTTTTAGGCATATTATTCGTAAAATAGAATTGGAAAAAGATTACGATTTAAAATTAATTTAAAAAATTTATTTTGATTTGATCTAATCTAATAATTTTATCTCTCAAATTCTTTAATCATCATTGTTGTCTAAAAAATATCTAAATTAATTAAAACATACTAAAATGCAACGCGCAGTTATGCATTGCATTTTTCTATTATATGCGAGAATATAATTCAATAATAATAATTCATAATTCAAAGGGTCGTAATATCGTCGTTCAATATTCGCGTTTAGGGACTGACCAATCCCCAGGCTTGCATCACATCCTTTTGGCTCATGGGCCACAGTCTCTTCAACAACGTCCATCCGGTTTTCTGCGTGCTCAGTATATATTGATTTTCAGGATCATGCAAATACGAGTAAGCGCCCATTACCAAACTCTGACACATCCTGGCGCATACGCTGATCTTGAGAATTTTCTTCTCCGTATCGGTCAACTTTCTGAACTTCTCGTAACCCTCTATAACGTGTCTGCCCATTCCTACGTTAGCCGCTTGCAAGATCATGTAACAGAGGACTACAGCCAACTCGAAAACACGACAAGTTCTGTGACAATCTCCAAAATCGATCACGGCGGCAATTTCCTCGCTATCGGGACTTATAATAATATTATACTCATTCAAGTCACCATGTATGACCCCTTGCTCCAGTTGATCCGTGATCGGCAGCACTTCTTTTTGGAAAGTAACAATCACATCATGCACCAATTGCTTATCTAATGAGCTCTTGATCGCATATGTAAACTGTTGTACGCGAGGCACCGAAGTTAACATCCACAATGTTTTATGGTTGTCATAGGCTGGATGATTGAAACCCACGAGGATCTCGTCAATCTTGGCGGCAAAGTTTCCGACCTTGCGTAATAGCTCTTCAGTCGTCTTCACGTTACGCATTATCTCACCGGGACGGTAGACCAGTAATTTCACGGCGTATTTCTCCATGGTATTGTCGCTCTTTAAATTTTCAAGAGAAAAGTAGGCGCCGCTGACATTCTTGACTGGTAATGAACAGCAGATGTTGCGCTGATTAAGAAAAATCATTAACTCGGTCTGCGCCTCAAGAATGTCCGTCTTCCGGGAATCCAAGGAGTTGGTTATCTTGAGGACGTAACCAGCCCTTTCTATGCTAGTAACATGCGGATTCACATGCGTCTCCTCGCACAGCACGTGGTAGTTACGATCATCGTAAGCATTTAATTCGCGCATGCTCGTCACCCTCATGCCGTAGAGCCGCTCTAACAGAGCGACTGCTATTTCCTCGGTCACGGGCGGACGTATACGTTGACCCGGTATGAGTAGGGTGTCGTTGTATTCCATGTTGCGATGCACGCAGCACCAAAATAGCCGCGAGTTATTAAGGGGGAGAAGCCGGGTCGATGGAAAAGAGAATATATGTATATCCTCTAGAGAACGTATTTGATGAGTAAAGTCTCGGACTGGGATATCTTCTTTGTTCTTTGGGCGATAAATCGTCGAACTGCACAGATAAGAAACATAACATTTAATATATTTAAAATAAAATGTGTAAGAGAAAAAGTTATCAACTGACATAAAACCTCAAATTCAAAACGGGAAAGAAATCTATTAAAAATGATATCAATAAGTCATATTATTGTCATTGCAAAATATAATATCATTAATAGTTTTAATTTAATTTCTTACGCAAAGAATAATTATATACAAATTATTTTATTTCTGATATATATTTTTAGCATCTTAAAGATATAATTTTCATTAATAAAAACAAAAATAGATTCATTCAAGGAAAATTAATTAATTAATTAAACTTATTTAAAAATTATAGATAAATTTACGGTATTATAAACATTAATATTAATATAAAAAAACATTTCTCTATAGCATAATCTGTTTTTATTTAGAAAGCATTAATAATAAATTTTATATGACTTTAGATAACGTACATTCCTTTTAAATAGTAATAGCAAAAATAGAAATAGCCCAAAAACATGTATGTAAATATATCACTTACCCGACAGATGCGTGTTTATACGATCAAAGGAAACAGCACACTAAGTTCTCAGGCAGACCAGGCAGTTTACCAAGTTAACCGAGCGATCCTATGCGCAGCGAGTGTAATCCATGCTCCAATCATCATTGCCATTCAGTACAACAGAAGGGTACAAACGCATAATATTTATATTAGCAGTAATTGGATGTGTAACACGATACGACTCTTATATCGCAATGACTAAAAGACACAGTTTTATCAAGACTCCGATAAAACTGATATGCGTAATGCATATATGTAGATCTACCTGATTTAGCTTGAGATATTTCCTCAAGTGAATCAGTCATTTGATTTGAGAAACACTGGTCGATCAACGCGACCGAACTCGTTAGCGTTCTTTCGTAAAGGGATTGATAAGGTATCAATATGATCGATAAGGATATTGCGAGTTAGATAATTTATAAAATAATATATCAAATTCACTCTTATATTTATTATAGCAAATTTATATTTACAGATTAATTCCTTTTTGCTTTTATCTCTCTATAAAAGAAATATTTAAATCTTTTAAAATATGACCAGAAAAAAAAGAAAAACTTGATATGCGCGAAAGAAACATTTAAAAGTTATTTCATTTAATTCTCTCCACGTTCGTTATACATTTATATACTTCGTAAAGTATATTAAATTTACAAGGAAAGCAAATTTATAGTTAATATAGTTAATAAAGAAGTTAAATTCTATATAGTATATATTTCTGTGTAAATATATAAGTCTTTTTAAAACAAAATTATTTATAATATATTATAAATACCTCTATAACTTTTTCTCTTATATTAAAAAATGCATCACAGTTCTTTTTTGGAAATAATTCATTTTTCCATTAACAACTGAAAACAAGAATCAAATGTACACAAGGCCGGCGGTATTCTCTCCATCAATCTTATGATATTTAAAGCCTCTAGTATACATTTTCGTTTCTTCAATTCATGTATAAGTATTTTTGCATTTTTCTCAATATCAGTTAAAGATTCATTTATGAAGACATGTTCGATTATCTGATTGTACACGACATGATCTGGGCTGAATAATACAGTTAAGTCATTTAGGAAAAGTTTTTCTAGTATTAACGGTGGTAACACGACAGCCTAGAAAAATAAAATAAAATTAATTGTCAGTGTCAATTCAGAAGCTTAATTATATTTATGATAGTTGACCTGCTGTTGCTGTTTAATGAGATCCACCGCTTCTTTGTGCATAGACGTATCTTCGGAACATAATCTTAGGTAAAGACTTTGTATAAAACTGATGTGATCTCGTTCAACTTCCAAGAACTGCTTGAGAATCTGTGTGTAACAAACATTTAAATAACATATTAGGTTACACCAGTAAATCTAAAAAAAGAAAGAAAGAAATATATTACAGTACCCCCTTAGAGCCTAATAATCCAATGAGTTCTTCATACTCTTGTAATATCCTTGTTTCAAAATTGCTATCTATTTTCATGATCAACGCAATTATCACTTTCATCATTTTTAAAATTGGATGATTATCCAATGTGATATGTTCTGGCACATTAAATCTCGGCCATTGCAATACGATTTTTTTAACTTCCTGATATTGTTCTAAATCGTTAATTTGATTAAACAGTTTTTGAAATAATCTAAATCGATCTTCCTCTGTTTCATATTTAACAACGTGATCAAACGAAATAGTTTCTTCTTCTTGCGAAATTCTGTCGGATTTAATTTTATCTTGTTCATCATTAGTTGTTTCTATACTGTCGTCAGAAAAATCACCCCAATCGTCTGTCCATTCTTCAGCATCAATTTTGTCTGAGATAGTAGCTCCTTTTAAATTTTCATTTTCATTAGAATCTGGATTATTAATATCAATTTGTTCTGCAGATTCTTCTTCTTCATTTTTGAATTTTGCTATTTCTTTCACAGTCTCTTCAGAATATATAGTATCTTGTTTCGATTTTACTGTGGATATATCTTGTACTTTTGTTTGTTGCATATTAGTATTTTGTGCTTCACTAAAGTTTTGCCAATATCGTAATTCTTTAACGATATCACATTCTTCAGAGTTTTGTGCCACAGCTATCATATTTCTTATTAAATCTAATGGCTTGTATAAATATAATTCCTCACAACTAGTATACAATTTCTTATACAATTCTAATGAATAATAATAAAGTGCTGTTTGTATATACAATTCGGTTTGTGGTAAGTTTACAAAAACTTCTTGAGCATCCAAAATGTGATCTCTATTTAAACTCAATAAATATGCCATGCCAAGTAACCAATCATCTGCTATAGTATGCTTTGCACATTCTAAGAGTACTGAAATTAATAAAATATTTTATACATTTTTTTGTGCTACAGATAAATGTAGTTTATATTGAACTGTTTGTCAATGTAAACTCTTACAATAATGAATACTTACAATGATTAATGTCGCTTATTTCTAACCCATAAGAAGATGATTCACTCAATAAAGTTATTCTCAAAAGCGCCCGACAACATTTCAATTTTGTATTCTGTATATCTACCATAGAATATTTATTGTATTTTGTTTCAATAGTACTTGTCTTACACATTTCATGCAAAGACTCATAAAAGCATGGGAAAGCTTGGAGATTGATATTTTCTACGTTTTGTTCTTCCTTGGTTTCATATTGCATATTATTTTCCAAGTTGTTTGTAAAGTTAAAATTCAGTCTAGATTTCCAAAATGTGGAATCACTTATATTTTTTATCAAACCAAACGTAGATTCTTTCACGATATTAGCGGAACTTTTTACAATTCCTGTTGAAGTTTCCAATATTTTTGGAACAAACTCTTTCACTTCTACTTGTGGCTATAAGTAATAATAAATAAATCATTATAAATTATAAAATGTTATATTTCTCGGATTATAAAAAAATTATTAACATTATATTATTTACTAAAACATTTTTTACCGTTGTCATAGCATCTGTAAAATCATCTTCACTTTCATCACTTTCTTCATCTTTAGAACTTCTAAATTCAGGAGATGGCATCCATAGTTCCAAATTTTTATGTAACATTTGTATTTCAATCAAATGCATATGCTCTAAAGCATTACCCAATATATCGCTAGGACCATTATTTATCGCAAACCATAAACATTTTTGTTTAACTTTTAAATCTTGATAATTATTACAACGTCCCAAATTTAAACAAATTTTCCAAACAGGAAGATAATTACGCTGTGCTAATTGTGTACATATCGTAGCACATGTATTATAATCTTCAATCTGTAGTCAAAATTATATATATTACTAATTTTTGTTTCAATCTTAAAATATATTAATTTGAAATAGAATATATAATATATATTAGAGTATACATATATATATATATATATATATATATATATATATAAATAACATGATATAATATGAATATATCTTACCTCAAATGCTTTTTGGCTATCAGTTCTAAAACCTTTCCTTCACGAAGTTTATCGTTCTTTCCTTCAATTCGTAAATAAGTTGCTAATGTCAATAATCTCTGTCGATTTTTATAAGCATCCCTTTGATTATTTAAACAATGTTCAATCAAGGTTAATTTATCTACTGTTAATCTAACTTGAAGAGGTAATATATCAACATTGAACTCATTCAAAATTTGAAGCGATTTTATTAAATCGTATTCTTCTTTAATTTTTATGTTTTCATCTTCAATAAGACGAAGGCAAGTTCTATAACAATTATTTATGTATAATATTTAAAAATAAATTACATAAATATGTGTTAATATATGTGTAGTTAACATATATAATTATATAATATATATATATATATATATATATATATATATATATATATATATATATATATATATATATATATATATATATATTACATTAGCAAAATACTTACTTAGCCAATTCCATATTTGGATCAGTAAGTGTTCTGGAACCATTAAAATATTCTTTAGTTGCTTCCAATATAAGATCAATTGCTTTTTCATAAGATACTTTTAGCATAGATTTCTCGTTTTTCTTGGTTTCTATCAAGGTGGCACAATTTTGGATGGTAGGTTTAATTCTTGAAACTAAGCGGGCGGAAACACATATTTCAAAACAGGTTTCAACAGCAACACAGGATAAGATTGATCCATGTATCTCTAACATATCATTTAATAACTGTGCCCATTCGTTTTCACTTGGAGGTGGCAAACTGAAATAATGAATATATTATCTAATTGTTATAATTATCATTCAAAATCTGTATAATCTCACTTAGATTTTTAAAAACAAATTTTTATTAATTTTTATATACTTTACATACCTTTCGCTAAAACTTCTTCCCATTTGATTTAATAATGATCTAGCAATGTCAGGATTATTTTTATTTTCTTGTATAAACTTTAACGTTGTTTTTACACCATATTTGTTTAAGCATCTAATGCAATCAAGTTCTTCTTCAAATTCTTCTAATAAATTGCACATTGCACTTGTCCTTTTCCCATTATAATCTTTTGAAATCGAATCTAAGATATTTTTAGCTTTTTCATACATATCAAGGTCATCACAACCATATACACAATCTAAAGCTAAAGTAGTGATATCATCTATCATTTCAATTATCTCAGTATCCTGCGTCTGTTTTAAATATTCGAAAAATTTAACTGGCAATGTTAAATCGTATTTGCTTAAGCAAATTAGGTAGTCACTTAGTAAATGTTTCTCAAGATCCTTATCCTACAATTTAAAATAATCAATTTTAAATACTGTTATACATATATATGTATGTGTATATATATACATAATTTTAATTATTTATAAAACATGATCATACGTACACATAAATACTGATGTCTCTGTTTAATAAAAGGCAACAAAAATTTCTTAATATTTTCCACAAAGTTAACTTCAATCGATGTACTCATCAAGAGTTTTATTCGCTCAATGTTACTTAATTTCTCTAATTTATCTAATGACATATCCTCTAGACAGACATTATACACAAGATCGTTTAAAGTTTCCAAATCTAATAATAAGTCTTCCATGCCATTAATATTATGGGATTTTGCAATTTTAATTAATTGCAAAGCATTATCTATCAAAGCACAATTTTTTTCAATTTCATAAGCACGTGTCTTATACCATTTTTGTATTAAGTCTGGTGTAAGTTGTGTATTTCTAAAAACAAAGCAAAGACAATTAAATATAGTCATTATAGAAAATGCGGACAATTTTATATAACAAAGATCTTACCTATATATTAATAATGATGGATCTAATTCATACAACATTTCTGACCCATCGTTTAAATTTTCATTTATTATTTCATTAAACTCGTATTTTTCTGACCAATCTTTTTGTCGTAATTCACGTTGATCTAACAAAAATAATTGACCTTCTAAGTCGCATTCTGGTAGGAGTTTCTGATAATCTAACGTATTTAGAGTTTCTGGGAAAAAGCTAATAATTGCCAACCAATGAGGTAACAAATTTTCTCCATAATAGGTAAACATAATTTCGACACTTCGAAAATCGCAGTCTTTGGCAAATCTATATTAAAAAAACATTTATAATTAAATAAAACTGTGTATATCATTAATCAGAAAAAGTACACGAATATATTTATACCTAATTGCATTTTCGACAGCTGATAATCTTCGAAATTCTTCATAAAATTCTTTCTTATATTTAAGTGGTGACTCCAATATAATTTCATATGTGAGCAATTTATCTAAATGACTCAGAAGCTTTCTTCGATATCTAATTAAATCTTTTTGAACCTCAGATAAATTTTTATGTCTATTTTCTCAAGCATTTCATTTACTTTCTGCACCTATTAAATTTTTTCCAAATAAAATTTTGTCAATTTGCATAAGTTTTATTATTGAAATAGTGCTATGTATTTTGAAAAATCTTTTGCTCACCTGTTTTAAACCTACAATGCTTTCGTCTAGCGCTTGCCAATCGTCTTCTGTATCGGAAGTTACGATTTTATCATTGTCACAAATATCGATAGCTATTAAAGTCTCTAAATTTGCAGCTCTCAATCCGAAATTCAATAGTTCTCTTGCAGCTTCCATAGTATCGGGGACACGTACTACACATTCATTTAAAACCCAAGATCTTTTACTTATTTTACTTAAATGTTTTGCGATGGCATTCAAGGATAATTCTGATTTTCTCCATTGTGTTTGATACACAAGATCTGTGTCTAAATTATATGTGTTTGCCAAAGCTAAAGCTTCTTCATATTCCTAAAATATATAGAATCATTTAGTTATATTTAAATATAAAAGTCTATATTAAATAATTAAACTAAATAAAATTATTTATTACACACACCTCAATGTCTATCTTTCGAGAATAAAGTTCTTCTGGAGTCGTACTCTTTACGCCTAAAATTCGATAAGTTTGGTGCAATACTTTCAATTTTTTCCTTTTTGGTTGAAATCTTTCGATATCAGTTATTGAATATAATGTGCTTTGTAGGAAATTCGTAGTATAATTTAATATAGTAACAGGTTCCAATTCATCATCGTCCTTCTCGCTTTCTGATGATGCTTCTTTATTATAAAATAAAAGAAATTTCTTTTATTTTCTATATATATATATAAATTTTTAATTTTTATTTGTAATGTGAGAATCTTTAGCTAATAAATTGCATTATTCACAAATAGCAAAGAATAATGTTATTAATATAAACAAAAGAGAAAAGAAACAAATATAACAAATATAATATAAATATGAACAAACCTAATAAATGGCCATCGTTAGGTTCTCTATTTCGTTTTTTACTTGTAATAAAGATTTCACAATCTAAACATAAAAATCCTTTCTCTGAACCAAGCTCACATATTTGTGGTTGTCCTGCTAGGAACTCCGGACTAATACCCAATAAATTCTTTAAGCTCCATGTGGAGCAGACTGAAGTAGATCCCGAATATCGAGCTATTATAATAGCCTTAAAGAAAAGAATTATGTATTTTATAAAAATGTATGTTTATTAAATATTATTATTTTTATATAACTTAATGTTCTATTTTTTAAAAGATATTTACATATGTATAAATATATATATAAATAAAATGTTACCTGATCAGACCACCAACCAATATCTATTGGATGAAATTCTGTAAAACCTGGTGGAAACTTTTTAGACTTTGTAAGTTCCAGAGGATTAGGTATATTATATTCTGGCTGTTCAGACAATTTCCACTTTTTTTGTAATATTAAATTTGGCAAACTCCAAAGTGAGACTGAGCCATCTGTATGCAAACATACCAAAAATTCGCCACTTGGTGAAATTTTTATTTTAAATATATATGATTCTGGTTGAAAGCTAAAGATTGGAAGTACATTCCATATAGAAAATCGTGAGTTACTGTTAGCAGAATCTTCAAATGTAAATGATAATTTACAAAATGGATAATCGTTCAAGAGTCGCCACGAAGTCAATCCAGATTCAGATGCAGTAGACTAAAAAAATATAAAGTACATCTTTCTCTCTCTTTCTGCAAAATTGTATATAATCATGCATAAATATTTGTAGATATACTTACTGTTAATTTTTGTGTTATCATATTTCCAGCAACATAAAACAAGCTGTGCTTTTCATCATAGGCCACTGCATTAATACCATTTTTGTAGAAATTGCCAAAAGAAAAGTCATAATTTATACTAAAGCTATTTGTGGCAATGTGATAAGATCTAAGAAGCCCACTATACGAAATTAAAATAAATTCATAAGTCCATTTCTCATTCTTTATCTTTGGTTTAAGAAATAACATGGATGCTATTGCATCACCGGCTTCAAGAATCTGAGGATTTTGTGAAATTGTTTTTGGACTTATATTGAATATATTATTTCCCAATGCATTGTAAAAAGATGTATAACCATTACTTGATGCTAATACTAAGATCATCCCATCAGGACTCCATGCAATTTTACGCCATTGAGGAAAAGCATCCTTCGGAGCTAAAAAAAATATAAATCACCTTTTATTTTTACGCAATACACAAGAAATGCAATCTGTTAGAGAACATGATAAATGCATGTTATTTACCGGATGCTTTGCCTACTATAGAGGAATATTCATCTTTTGCTTTTCGTATCTCAATAACATTCTCCTGTAAAATAGCAAGTACACGACCATGATCTCCAACAGCAAATTTCCATGGTAACGTGAGACTGACTTGTAGCGAGATACTTTCAGGTAAAGAATATCTATTGTTCAGATATCTAAGGGCATTTTTTATTGTGCCAGTAGTTGGGAGAATAGCTGCATCGCTTTTACATTTCTAAAAAAAAATATAGAATATTTTCAATATACAGCTATAGTAATAAATTTTTTTAATGTATGATGATCTGCACATATTGAACATCCACTCACTATCAATTCTGGTTCTTGTTTGCGAACAAAATATTCCAATAATTCGTATAATATTGGTTCATTTGATGTTTCATTCAAATTATTCATCTTGTTACCGTAAACATAATCTGCGTGATGTGCGAAAAACGCAGAATAAATTCACATTGAACGATTCAGTGGCTCTATTATATTTATATATAATCTGTTCGTTTTGATTGCACTTTTTCTATACTTGGATTCTTCGTCTCTTTCTCTCGAACGCCCGAGTATATATATCTATCTTACTTCGAGTGCAGACATTTCTGGGGATTACAAATTGTAAGCAAAATTACAAATCTATATACATATGCATATATACATGTATACATACACATTCATACGCAATTTCACATGTGCGAAATAAGTGGACACGACAGCATTTCACGCACGTATACAACGAACATGAATAATTGAGCTAGATCTGTATTGATATTTCTAAATACAATTTTTTATAACAAATATTAATATTAACAAAATAATCTTTATTTAGGAATTATTTGCTGAGAACAGTTATCTATAATCTACGTGCAAGATATAATAAATAAAATATTATAAGAATTTATTTTATACATTAATTAACGCATGTAATCTAGGCAATTTCTCTATAATATTTAAAAAAATACATCTTTTTGTTCACATAGTTAATTACACGATTTTATTCGTAAAAAACGAAAAAATGCAATTATATTATAAAAGGTCTTTTATAAATATCGTCTGCGCATGCGCGTCAAAGGCACAGAATCGTGCAAAACGTAGCCATCTATATTACGTATATATTCTGTAATCTAGGCAATTGCTCTATAATATTTAAAAAAAATACATCTTTTTGTTTACATAGTTAATTACACGATTTTATTCGTAAAAACGAAAAAATGCAATTATATTATAAAAGACCTTTTATAAATATTGTCTGCGCATGCGCGTCAAAGGCACCGAATCGTGCAAAACGTAGCCATCTATATTACGTATATATTCTATGGTTTATAAAAGTATGGTTATGGCGTCTGTGTATTTCAAAATACGATTTTGCCTGGATTTGATGTAACCGTTGCTATCAACAGGGTGGCGTGAGAGAATTTGTAAGACTTGTTACTGGTAAGAACCTGCGAAATGTCAGACGGCGAAGATGATTTTATGTGCGAGGAGGAGGAGGATTATGGCCTGGTAAGTTTTCTTCCGGAGTATCATTTTTGATGATCATTTTTCCGGCTCGCAGTGAGGTTAAGATTCCACGAACTGTGTTGTGTATGTAGCATGTAAAAATAGTACGGAGATTCCTTGCGAAAGATCTTTTTCCACGACAAACTCCGTTTGTCATTAAAAATCCGCGATTACGCGAATACGTTCGATTATTCGTTTATTTGGGTTATGTTTAGCCGCTTTTTCCTTCGTATTTTTACTAACAATAAGTATATTATTTGGCGAATATTACAGTTTCAATTGTTTTCTAATATAACATGTATTTTAGGAGTATTCTGAAGATTCTAATTCTGAACCAGATGTGGATTTAGAAAATCAATATTATAATAGTAAAGCTCTCAAAGAAGATGATCCAAAAGCTGCTCTACAAAGTTTTCAGAAAGTGTTGGATCTGGAAGGCGGAGAGAAGGGAGAATGGGGCTTTAAAGCTTTAAAACAGATGATCAAAATTAATTTTAAACTGGTATGTGTCAAAAATATATTAATAGCTGCAGTCACAAATGCTACAAATAATTCTTCTTCTTTCTTTATTAAAAGAAAGGAGAAGACATGTTTCAGAGCATTTGTAGCATATCCCTGACCATAGCTATATTTATTGAGTATTATACTCATTCAGCTTTAATTATATAGTACGAATTAAAATAATATATGTATATTTTCTTTTTAGTCCAATTACAAAGAGATGATGGCGAGGTATAAACAATTGTTAACCTATATTAAAAGTGCAGTTACTAGAAATCATTCGGAAAAATCAATAAATTCTATATTGGACTATATTAGTACATCAAAAAATGTAAATACATTCAACAAATATATGTTGTAGCTTTATAAACTTTGCTCTCTATTTAAGCAATTTTATTAAATAGATGCACATCTATTTTATTACTTACATTTTCTATTTTTTTTATTAATTTTCTTTTATACACATTTTTCAATTCTAAAAAATGAGTCCTTTTTTTTAAGATGGAATTATTGCAAGATTTCTACGAAACAACATTAGATGCATTAAAAGACGCAAAAAATGATAGGTTATGGTTTAAAACAAATACAAAATTGGGAAAACTATATTACGATCGTTCAGATTTCAATAAACTGGCAAAAATATTAAAACAACTTCATCAAAGTTGTCAGGTATGTATATATATAGGCATATGTAAAAATATAGTGATAAAATATTACACATATACACTTATATATATATATATATATATATATATATATAACATATACATGTTTTTTAGACTGATGATGGAGAAGATGATTTGAAGAAAGGAACACAATTATTGGAAATTTATGCCTTAGAAATACAAATGTATACAGCACAAAAGAATAATAAGAAATTGAAAACACTTTATGAACAAAGTCTTCATATTAAAAGTGCTATACCACATCCATTAATTATGGGCGTGATTAGAGGTAAAAATATGAAAATTTAATAACAAGATTCTTCTTTTCTATATATACTGCTATTGCATTTTTATATATGCATATATACTATTCAGAAAAGCAAAATAATAAAATACTTGTATTTTTTTTCCAGAATGTGGGGGTAAAATGCATTTAAGAGAAGGTGAATTTGAAAGAGCTCATACTGATTTTTTTGAAGCTTTCAAAAATTATGATGAGTCTGGATCGCCAAGACGTACAACATGTTTGAAGTATTTAGTTTTGGCCAATATGTGAGTATAATTATCTATTGTTCACTGTTATAATTATTATCTATTTTCTATAGTATATTTATACATTTAATATATACATAATGTGCATTTTAGGTTAATGAAGTCTGGTATTAATCCATTTGACTCACAAGAGGCAAAACCATATAAGAATGATCCTGAAATTTTAGCAATGACAAATTTAGTTGTCAGCTATCAGAATAACGATATCAATCAGTTTGAATTAATTCTAAAACAAAATAGGAATAATATTATGGATGATCCCTTTATTCGAGAACATATTGAAGATCTATTACGAAACATACGTACCCAGGTATATAATTTCAGCTTACATTAAAAAATGTGAAAGTATAAGAGAAACACAATTTACAATATTTTATGATTCACTAAACGATTAAAATGTTTTATCTAATGTATATATATAATATATCTGTCATATTTATGCTATATATATCATGATATTTTACTACATTTTTATTACATTTGACTATTTTAGGTCTTAATTAAATTGATAAGACCATATACTAGAATTTATATTCCTTTCATAAGCAAGGAATTGAACATCGACGTTTCTGAAGTGGAAAGTCTTTTGGTATCTTGTATATTGGACAATACAATTCACGGTCGTATAGATCAGGTAACTATTATAATCTTTTTAAAATTCCGTTTGAAGTTATATGATATAAGACCACCAGACAAATCATATCAGATAATATCAGACTTGAAATATGTCTGATATTTCTTATTTATTAGGTTATTTAACATATATGATTCTTAGGTAAATCAAGTTCTCGAATTGGATAAAAAATCAGTATGTGCTGCACGTTATAATGCGCTTGATAAATGGGCAGGACAGTTGCAATCTTTGCATACAGCCATTGTGAACAAAATGTCCTAAATGGGCATAGTGGGCATGTAATCCTGCAATAAATATGAACGAATTTCACTTGTATAGTATATCATAAAAATCCTATACGAATATGTGAAATAATAAGATCTATTGTGATACAATAAATTTAGCATTTTAGCACAGGGACCCCATTTTTATATCCCGCGAATAAACTCTTTCCTAAATCCCAAATAAATAAATATAACGGCGGTTGTTAATTAAATACAAAGATAGAAAGGACAAATTAAATACAATATAACTAGAGTTAGTAGAAACAATAAATTTTTACCATAATATAGAGAAAAAGAGTTAAACGTTTCAATCTAAATTTAAGTCGTTCGTAAATTTTTATATAACCTTCCAACAATTAATTATATTTAACAACACAATTTTATTTTCTAAATTTTAATTGTTTAATTTCTTTCTATATGTATTAACATAAAGCATTGAAAATATTTGTCAGAATCCAATAATTAAATTCAATTATTCAATGCTAGATTTTAAATATTTTTAAAAATTCAATTATTATATTAAAATTATAGTATGTTAAAACTTACGCCATGAAAAAAATTTTAAGAACAAAATCTAATTTATATTGTGTTAAATGTTATTATATGTTATATTAATAATTAATATATTGATAAGAAATTAGCAGATTATAATCAAATCTATTCTGGGTCAAAATTAAAAAATTTTATGTATAAATGTGATAAAAAAAAGAATTGCCAAATAATCATGATAATGAGAGTGTCAAAAAATTTGAATTATTTATAAATAATTCCAATCCAAAAGAAGAAATTACTTATAAATGTATTTGTCGTAGGAATTTTATTTGTCTTTTAAGTTTAAGGCAAATATAATGTCAATAATAAATTAATCTTCTGTGAAGAATCAATATTTATACACAATATCAATATTTATAATTTATAATCAATATTTATGCACAATTAAAAGATCACATACATCGATGAATACGGAAACATCAAAGATAACAAAGTATTATTTATAATTTATGCATACACACACATATAATTATAACTATGTAAATTTGGACAGTGAAATATATTATTGTTTAAATTTACGGAACGATGCGCGCGTTGTGCTACTTTATCGATATATCGATATATCGATAATCAGCATGAATCATCGAGAATTTTGAATTATGAAAGTCGAGCTTGTTTCAGAGCGCACAGGACAGTTCAATTCAGTCGGGACAATTTAACTGACGACCGGGGATGAAAACGTTGCAGAATCTTAAATGAGGAGAATAGAGAAGACGTCGAGATACGATACATATGAGATGCTGTGTTATTCTACGTTTCCCTCATGTTTCGTCTGCTACGCTGCCGCTCGTTACCACTTCTCGCACGTATGTACATTTAAGTAAATCCCGAGAGAAACTAACAAACCTTGCCCCAGACGCGTGATGTATATGTATCCTTTGCAAAGTAACTCCACGCTTGTGATTATCAGTGACGCGATTGCAGAACATTCTGCGCCATTGTAATGACGATAGTTATACATATATATAAATAGATATTGAATGAAATTAAAATAAGAGGTCAAATTAAGAAGAATCAAATTAAAATAAAAATCACACACAAAAGATTAAAAAGGTTTGGGAGCGCTGTTTTTATAGTTTGTTTCGATGTTTCTAAATATATATTTTATCTTATTTCTCTAATATAATATTTTTTATAATAAGTCTCTTTTTCCGTCTATTTTTATTCTATTCTATTCTATGTTAATAAGAATATAAACAAGGATTATTATTTAAATAATAATTAAATGAACCGGCAGTTTCAATTAGCAGAGTTGCCAAAACCTCAAACATTTATATTTATATAAATATATCATGAATCATATCTATTGGCCACCCTGCTAATTTTAACCATCGATTCATCTGACCGCACATGGTGAAATTGACTCTAAGAAATTTAGGTAAGTTTGATTGAATACAAATATTACATTAACATACCTATGTATATACACATATATATGTATACATATATACTTATATATATTCATACATACAGATATATATATATATACTCGTATATTATTCAATCACTTACTTAATATAAATATATTAAAAAATACCAACTCATATATATTATTATTATTAAATCTGTGTCTGAGTGTATATATATATATATATATATATATATATATATATATATATATATATATAAATTTGTGTCTGTGTGAGTGTGTGTATATATATACACGCAGATTCAATAAATAATCTATGAATTGATATTTTTTAATATATTGATATATATTTTTATTGATATATATTTTAATATATTTTTAATATATGGCTAATTTGATTAAAATTCTTAAAAATTGCACATTAATTCTTGTTAAGATATCCGGTAGAATTTTTATATACTATACATGCTTAAATAATACAAATTGCCATTAGCGATTAACATTATTTTCTATACGATTTTTGATGTACGCCTCTGGTAAGAGCAATTCTAATAATTTTCATTCGATCAACCGAGTAATGGAACAATTCATATTGCCAATCCCATATCGAGCTTCATCTCGATTGCGTTCCTCGTGTTGCATTGTTGTTTTATTTTAGGATTGATGTGTTTAACGTTCGAAAATGCGCAATTACTTTTGGCATAACGATCTATGTATTATTTAAGCAAGCAAAGATTGCTAATTTGACAAAAGAAATCGAAATAAAGATAAAAATAAAAATAAGAGTTTTATAAAATTGATTTTAAAGATTAAAAATTTTTATTATACGCAATAGATTTCAATAAATTTCTCTTTTCATATGCCATTTTTAACATTGTATTTAGTTGAGTACATTTCAAGAGATCATCAGTGAAAAACATAATAAATATAATAAATATGTAGCACTATGCAAATAAATTCTAAAATCATGTAATAAATATCGTATTAAATAGATATTTGTTAATACGATTTTAGAATTTATTTGCTTCATAGACGCACAGATTAGATTTTCAACAACTTTTTTCTCAAATAAACTCGTGCAACATCAATAAAAAAAGATATTTAAAAATATGTACTGTTTATAAAAAATCACTATTTCATCTAATTGTAATACAATTTATCGGCAATATGCTGCATAAACATTAAAAACAACAAGATAAAAAAACGATATATTTCCCGTCACATTTTAAATTATAAATTTGAAAATAGGCCATGCACAACACGCTCTATATGTATAAGCGCAGAAAGGAATTAAAGCGGAAAAAAGTTGAGAAATGAAGGCAATCTGTGCGCTATTGTCCCGTGCGTCCGCTTTGATCGCCACGCAAAACAGCACGTGAATTAATTCTATTTTTGCAGAATTAAATCGCGACATACAATACATGCAAAAGGCGACGTCATCCACACACATACACACACGAGCGAACACAGTTGGGTATGAATATCGGAGAAGCGGACGATTTTGCGCATCCAACACGGACGAGCATTAGGACCAACCGCTGCTTCTTGCACGCACCATGTGATGCTTAAACGACGGGATATCGTTTGCCCCGAGTGGTACCACCATCCCTGTAAGTATTTTTCCAACACCCTTGTATATATACTCTGTACTTACTTTGACCCGCGCGCGCGCACGCCGCGCAAATTGTTAATTACTGGCCATTAGCCTATTAGAGGCACGTTCGATTTAATTAGCTTGAGACTAATTTTATTGCTCTCTCGTTAGCATGCTGCGGTCGTATGTACGAGGTCACCCCTTTTTCGTTGTGGTCCAACCACGTACGTGCATATTACGCACGTGACGCGTCGAAACGCGCCATATACTCGCTAATTTATATTACCGTGAAATATTAAATGAGAGAGAAAGAGAGAGAGAGAGAGAGAGAGAAAAAAAAGAGCGGAAGAAAGAAAAATTTAATTTTGATATTTTGCCTGCGATATTTTAATCCGAATATTTTCTAGATACCAAGAGACACAAGCGCGCATTCGGCATACTAAACTAAATCTATCTGCATTTATAGTTTCACACGTGAACATGTAATCATTTCGCTGTAATTAAGTGCCAATTTTGAAATGGGTTCGCAATCAAGTATATTCATATAGATTTCGCGGGCAATTGTCAATGCTCGTAAACTACCTGCTAAATTTGTTTACGCCAGTCACAAAGTATTTACTGCCAACATTGGTTACTTTATCAAGCACGACAAAGCTGCTGGTACGACATAGAGGATATATTCTGACAAATAATGACACCGACACGAGCCAAAAACAGACGAAAATGTATATGTACAAATTATTAAATTTGCCTAAATTGACGCTTGTCGATTGAATAATAAATATCCGTTACTGTTACTGGCACCGCCGATACAGTAGCACAATTACTCAAACAACGATATGCGGGGGTGTAATTTAATTATTGCGTACACTGGAATTAAAACAGTTTTTTAACAAACATGTGATATTTAGAAAGAACAACATGCAACACGGGAACATTTATTGGAATAGATGACTATTACTGTAGAATATATGGTATTTTTAAACAACTGATATATGTATATGGTATATGTATTTATTATATAAATATATATATATATATATATATATATATATTTATACATATAACAAATCGCGTAAAAAAAATTCGTTAAAATTAAAATAGAAGACGGAACTTTTTTTATAAATGCAAAATCAATTTTCTTAAAAATGAAATTGTCCAAATATTAGTAAAGTTTAAAATATAAGCAATTAAAAATTAAACATAATTATTAGATAACTAAATTTTTAATAAAGTCTATCTTATATATATATATATATATATATATATATATATATATATTGCTTAATTTTGCAAACAAGATCGGAAGGTATTGAAAAACATATCTTTGCTTAAATTAAATTTTAATAAATTTAATAAATCGAAAACATAATTATATCCGCAAAAGCAGCTGCATAAAAAAAGATTATATATTATTCGCTTTTACGAAATAAAATTTAAAATAGTATTTGATATAACACACATAGATTGTCACGACGCGCTTCACTTATTTACTGTCAAGGAAATATCAGCGGAATTATCCATTTCTCATGGACATAGTGTGTAAATCCTGTGTCTAAACGCAGGTACGACCGCTCGGTAGAATGGCACGGTTGGTTTCGGCTCCGTTACAAGCATTGTTATTCAGTCTACGTTTGTGCCTATGTAAATGTTGGTTAAGCCCACGCAGGTTGGCATATAGAGTCCCTCAGGCTCGTTCTATATCCGAGTTATGTGGCGTGAGAAGCTATAATCCCCGCTGCCTACGAACAGTTTCTCCCTTATCCGTGCTTAAGACGATATCTTCCGAAGATCTTAGTGTCCATTCTCGAAAATCCATCTGATTGGCTATCTCGTGCTTAATTTTATTGAGATACCTAGCTTCGTGGATGCCCATTAAAACCAATTTAGTAATTACGATTCAATTGCCTTTCATATAAATACAATGTTTTAATCTGCACCGTCATTTTCGAATTACATAATTACAAAATTTTGGCATTTTTAATTGGAGATGTCCAAAGTATCGAATAATCTAAAATTTCATAATTTTAATGTCGAATATTACAGAGCAACCTCAATTTTTTATCGCGCTATTAAATGATATATTTTTCTATTTAATTTCCTATTAATTACATTTTTTAAATAATTAATAGGCGTGTTTTTTTTTATTTTTATGCTTAAAAGACTTCATCAAAATGAACAAAAAATATTGACAACTGTATATGCAGTTCCTTTTGCGCCTTAAAGTCAAAAGACAATTTATTTATATAAAGACAAATGTAAATAGTACAGTTACTTGTGTTTAATTAATTAATTAAAGTGACGAGCTACGCACTGAATAGAGACGTCAAAAGGGTAAACGAGACGGTGTAAAACAAAGTCACGACTGTTCATGGTGCAGTGGTAAAAAAGAGCGATATAAACCGTAACTGCAAAGTAGCCTCGAGAAATTTTGCATAACGGTAAGATCGCGAAGAGAGAGAGCCTGTCCGTCAAAGAGTCGGACAAAGTCGAGAGCAAGGGAAAATCAAGGATGTACTTAAACATCTACGAAGCTTCTCTCCCTTTTCGTATTCCTTACTCTTTCTCTCTTCAACTTGTTTTTTGTCCTGCCGCGCGTTGCAACTGCAACTGCACACACGAACCGCATAAACGTGAAAGACGCGCGCGCTCGGCGCAGTCGCGGGAGTTAATTTAAGAGTAAACTTTATTTTTCATGTCTTTGCCGTTGGAGCGTGAGTCTCGTAACTTGGTGGAAAGTGGTGCGGGCTAAAAAATGAAATCCCGCGCTCCGAAGTTTTAAACCCTCTTTCGCGGCCCGGTAACTGTATGCAGGAAAGAAGGACAAAGAGAGCGGTAGACAGACAGACGAGACATTTTGACGAAGTTTCCATGCTCTTATCGTATCATCGCGAGGAAACATTCTCACTCTACGAGATCATGAAAGAGATGGAAATCATCTTTTTATACACGAATTAAAAATTAAAATAAAATGACTATATTTGGACGACGTAAATCGAAATGAACAACGAGAATATAAAATAAAATAAAAAATTTACATTGTGAGAAATTTAATATCGTTTTTCGAAAAAAAAAATAATATATCGCGATGTTATACATTTGCAGCATATTTTGCATACGTATTTAACGTAATTGAAATAAATATCTTTCCGTTCTTTTTTTTGTTCAGTTAATGAAATAATCATTCGTTCCACTCGTATCACTCGTCTATTATCGCATCGACATAATGAAGCGAAAGAAATCTGCGCCCGTCGGAGTAATTCGATCGAGTCGGACGATCGAGATTAATTCCGTTAATTAATCGCCGAAGAAACGTGGTGAAATGAAAAGCGTCCATTATTCGCGACAAGATCGGTGGCCGGACGAGGGTGCCGCCGAGCACTCTTTGAGCCCTTTCCAGTCCGTGGCCTCGCCAGAGCTTCATTCATCTCAGGAAATCCCCCTGAAGTGGCCTCCTTTAAATTGAAACTCAAATACACACTCTTAAAGAGCGAGCGAAAGAGCCCTTGAGGCGCCGTTGAGCCCATTCGAGACGGTTATTTTTCACACCATGGTCGGAAGAGGTTCGTCGTCGTATACCTACTAACGAGTGACGCTATACGATAAGATAACTATTACAGGAAATCGATTCTGCCCGCCGTTAACCGCGATAAATACGCGTTGTATGGTCAGTTACGCTTGGCGAATTATCATTTATCGAGCATTAATACAAAATTATTTGTCTGAATGTAATTAGATATCATATATTTATTAATCATATGATGTAAAATAAGACCATCAGGATATAATTTGCATAAGAATATAATTTGATGCATTTTTAAAAGTAATCTATAATTTTATTATATATATATATATATATATATATACATTATATATAATTATATTTTATTTATACAGGGTGTCTGACATAAAGTGTCACACCGAAAATATATACAAGTAGATCTCGTTATTTGGAGATGATTTTTCCTCAGCAAAAATGTCGAGGGAAGCCATCATTTTTTGGATGTTCCCAATTTTTACCATCATGTATCTTTATAACTGAACCTTAAATTAAAATTTTATTAAAGTAAACTCTACTTGAATTAATTGGAGAATGTGGTTTTGTTAATATTTTATTTTCACAAGGCTTAGTTTGCGAAAAACCCTTTATTTTCAATCACTTATAACTCGAAAATTATTAATGCTTCTATATTTTTGCTGAGGAAAAATTGTCTCTAAATAACAAGATTTACTTTTATATTTTCGGTGCGACACCTTTATGTCAGACATCCTGTATATAATTTTATATATATATATTAATGATCAATATATATTATAATATATATAACATGTAATAAATATTCTTGTCGAAATAACATATTACGATCGTGTGATTGATGAAAGGAGGAATTATATATATGTATATCTTTTTATGAAATCGCAACATCTCATTTTTCCTTTATATACGAGAGATAGTTTTTTTTCTGTTGCCATATCGGTGGATCAAGGATGACATTTTTGCAAGCTTCTCTTCACATTGTTATCCTTCACAGATATCAGCCCACATTGCAACTACGCTTCACTCGCGATCCTCTTTTTCGTCTTATTACCTCTGATGCCTGTTTATACGAACATGACTAAGGCTCGCGCGCCATCGCCGTAATTAGGATATATCACCCGGAAGACGCTTTACCCTTTTTCCGGTGCATCGTGAAAAATACAACTTCGCCAGCGTTGTATCGTCCGACCGAACCGTAAACGGCGAACAAAATTTTGTCACCCGGTCTTAGTGAAGTGAGTTACATCTCACATGTTTTTCTCATTTTTTTCTCACTTTTCTTTACTTATCGCTCCACGTATCTCGTTACGCCTTTATTTATCGGTTACGTATTCGATCGTAAATGCCGGGAAATGGATGCACGCGCATCCCTTGAATTCCGTGAGATTCCGCTGCCGCGTGTGCACTATATATGTTTGTATGTGTACGTGCATAATTTGAAATTCAAATTTAGATCGACCGCCCGATCTGAGAGATGT